TAAACATCTGTGCTTTACTGACACAAACAAAAATACGGAGCCTGCATGTAAAACGTCCCAAAGGAATGTAATTAAAACTTCTTGCATTGAGTTATTGTAAATATATTGGTTTTATTAGCTTACTACGATGTCTGATCCCACGGCCTTTGCACCATATAATCACGCATTTTGTTTAATTAGACTTTCCATCTAGATCCCTGTTCACAGAATTGAACATACATTCATTTTGAAAAGATTGATCCCTTTTCTCACGTCTGCCATATGGGGCAAATGCTATTTCCCTGGTGTCTACAAGGGGCCTTGCTGCTATAGTGTTTGATGCAATGCATCGAAATCTATGATAATATTAATAATTGACATATTTACTCAAAATGTTGTGGTTTTCATAAAAATAGTAAGAAACGTTTTCAAATTAATTCATATTTGGTAATTTATCAGAACTGAAGATTTAGATTCAAAAGAGATGTTTTATCACTTTTTTTTAAGGTAACATTTTTAAATAAATATGATCCCTTTTCACAACAAAGGCTTCAACCACACAAAAACACAGCCTGCACCCACCTGTACACTGGTGAGGGTGGTGTACTGGTACGCTTTGACCACAGCGTAGTTGGCCTCCACGTCCACCAGCCCCAGCAGGAGGTACTTCCACCAGCGCTTCCTCAGGATCTGTAAAATATTGCCATCCCCTACGTTTTAAAGGGGAGCAACCTGAACTTCAGTATCGACATTTATGTTTCATCACCAAGCCTCAGAACTGTTAGACACTGAATCATTGCTGCTCCCCTGTTGCAGGCCATCCTTACTTCTTTCATTATTACAACATTTGCACAATCATTTTCCCATTGAACCAACAAACTGAAATGTAATGTCATACATGAAATGGATACATGTGAATATTATTGCTGATGCATTGATGTGTTAGTATGTTGCTGTTGTAGTTGGTGAAGGTGCAACTATAACTGTTAGGAATGTATTTATGTATTATTTATAAGAATCCATTATATTCTTTTAAAGTCTTTTTAGAAAAGTTAGTGGAGTAATAAGTAGAACAACATTTCAGTTGTGGGATGTATTTAAGTACATTTACTCAAGTACTGTAAGAAAAAAATCTAACCATTGAGTTTATTTATTTTATTCTACTTTCTACCTTTACTGTATAATTGTCTTAGATGTATTTGTCGGTGATAAACAGTATAATATCATATCTTTATGAATATGACACCCTGAAAGGAGCCATATTTTGAACTCAGAACTTTGACTTCTGATAGAGTATTTATGGACTATGGTATTTCCCCTTCACCACTGCTGACTTACAGTGGAGTAGAATGAAATACATTTACTGTTGGGGAAATATTTCCCAAGGCCCATAACTGTGACCGAGGTTTATCAGTTCATACTGTCCTGACTGAGCACACGCACCTGTTACCTTGGCTGCTGTGCTCTCAGTGTTTTGTCTCCCTGTTCCTGCCTGTTGGCGTCAGCTGATAGAGGTGTTATGATTCTATCTTGTTATGCACAATGTGGATTATTCTCTCTGAACTAGCTAAATACATGGGTCTGGGGTAGAGTTCTTCAGAATTGATTGTGGCATCTCTACCGTGTGGTCAAACCGTGGCCCGTGACATGTCTTGTGAATTCTCCGGCTGAAGCTCCAAATGAACCGTCAGTGTTTGCCATCAAAGCTCCAGCTCTCCATCGTGTCTCTTTGAGTCCTGACTCCAATTGCTTCAGAAGTTTCCCCCACATTTACAATGAGTGAATTTACTTTGTTGCATTTCATCCCTGACGCCTGTTTTTGTTACACTGTTGCTTTAGTTTTTGGCCAGAGTTATAGCATATACTGTCATTTGAATGACACACATTATCTTGTGTGTTTGGTCCCTGGGGTTGTGTTACCTGTTCTACAGAGCAGCATGGTGGTGTAGGTGAGACACAGCAGGATGTAGTGCAGGAAGCTCTGCATCATGGGAGTGTTCACATGGAAGCTGGAGGCCAGGTACTGGGAGGAGATGGCCGTCCCACAGATGAGCCCCGCCAGGCCCTGACCCATGGCCAGTGTCCTGGCCAACTGCCTGAGAGACAGAGGGCTCCACGTTATGCTCTGCAGAACATGTCAGCACTTATACATTTACTTATTATATGCTACTTACTGCTTCTACTCCATTACATTCTGGAAGCTAATATTTTAATTTGACTCCACTTCATTCATTTGGCATCTTTAGTTACCAGTGGTGTAAAGTAAATAAGTAGATTTACTCAAGTACTCTACTTAAGCACAATTTTTAGATACTATACCTTACTTGAGTATTTTATTTGTTTGCTACTTCGTTCTTCTTCTCCTCTACAGTTCAGATGTAAATGGTGTACTTTTCCTCCACTACATGTATTTAACTCCTTTAGTTACTTTACAGATGTGGATGAATGATGTGAAATATAATCAAGTGTTAAATCAGACTTTAGTTCCACCTGGAGTAAATTCACAAGCTACCCTGCAGTATACAAAGTCATTCAAACTAGCTGCACCTTTACCAGCTTTGAGAACACTTTCATGATCAATCATTATAAAACATATCATATATATTATTCTGAAATGGACCAATCTGCACAATGACTACTTTTACTGTCGCTACTTTCACTATATTTTGATGATAATACTTTTCTGCTTTTACTTGAGGAACATTTTGAATGAAGGACTTTTGTAACACAAGTAGAAGTTCAACAACCTGCTGTACATTAAACCACCCAACAAAGGAGAGACAAAAAGCACAACCTTAAACAATTAGAGCAGTTATATGCAACATATAAATGAATGCAGCGGTAAAGTTAATCATCATTATAATAGTAAAGCAGTGACAGTAACCTTTGCTGTACAATAAATACTTTTACTTTTTGAATCCCTACTTTAATTTCATTTTTCTGAAAGGCTCTGAAAGCAGGACTTTAACTCGTAGTGGTATTATACATTGTGGTATTAGTACTTTTACTTAAGTAAAGAATCTAAATACTTCCTGGACCACTGGTGATTTTAATCAATGGAGAAGTTTGACAGTCTGACTGAAAACATAGAAACAGCTTGTCTTTACTGTTCAAAGTGCTAACATGCTCCTCCTGCTCCTCCTGCTCCTCCTGCTCCTCCTGCTCCTCCTGCTCCTCATGCTCCTCCTGCTCCTCCTGCTCTCACTCACCAGGTGAAGAGCTCCTTGGGGCTGAACGTCCTGATCCTCTCCATGAGGCCACTGCTTTGGCTGCCGCTGCTCAGGTCCTTGTAGACATCCTCAGACTGATCAGTAGCCATGTTGCCACACCGGAGAAGGAGGAATTCTCTCTGAGTTGAACTGTTACTAGCTTTGAACTCCTTCACTTTCACTGAATGATTAACGGCTGCAGAGGGCAAAGACTACTTTCTCTCCTTCATCTATCTCTCATGTGTTAAAGGCAGCCTGCAGCACTTGGAGATAAGCACTGAAGATGAAAGACACGAATCACTTAGCTTCCTCTGGTCATTTACTCTCACCTACTATCTGCTGATGGGATTATAACTGGTGTTGGGAAAATGTGCTTCATCATCGTTTATTTATAAAAATGACATTAGTGAACACTAACTACTTCATTAAACCATGTACAGTATTAAGGCACAATGAAGTCACCATTGAATGCTACTCAAAACATATGTCAGGAGATATTGTACTTGTTACTCGTAGTTCACTTTTCAGAATAAGATGTGGCATAAAAACATATAAGTTGTAATACAGTAAACTGGTGTGATGAATCAACTCATGACCCCTCAGCTGAGACCCTGTGTTGGGAGAGGATACAACTGTATGAACCACTTCACTAAAACAGCTAACTCCAATAGAGAAAATAGCTACGACAGTCAAATAAAATATGTGAAATAAGTATTTACATTGTATGCTTTAAACTAGACTTAGTGGCAAAAATGTGCTTTGACTCCAATATATGTATTTGATTGCTTTTAAATTATTAATACAAAATATTAACCAACTAAACAATTATGATTTATTATTATATATTATATTATTATAGGGCTATAAAGTAACTCAAATGAACCAAAAGCTCTACTGGTTGCAACATCAACGTGATGAACACATTACTGCATCAATATTTATCATCCAAAAATATCATGTTTTCTGAAAAGGGCAATTCAGAGTACTTTTCTGCTCTGTTCTTTGAGTATATTTAATGCTGTCACTTTTTAGTTTGACTTTTTCTCAAGTTGTTGATAATATAAATCATGTCATTTACAGGGAGGTTACTTTGATGCCATGTGGTGTACAATGAAACCAGGAGGAGGCAGCATTGTCAAAGATATCTAACTGTACCTCAGAAAGAGTAGTGGAGATCCAAACTCATCACACAAGATGGGAATCAGATGGGAAACTATCTCCATGAAATAAAAAAAACTGAACACATTTTAAGAAATGTGTAAATAAATGTGAAAATAAGTCCAGTGGTACAAATCCTTCATGAGGTAGTGCAGTAAATTGTCAGGGAGAGTAGATCTGTGTACAATATAGAATCCACAAGATTTGTAAAATGGTGTCTCAATATAGGTAATATTTGCCGAATAAAGTGTTGATTAATTTATTGTGGAATGTTACCTGCAGGATTCTCAATGTTTAAACGAGTACATAAGGCTGTTTTTATTTGATGTAAATTTATGTTATTGCATATTTCCTTTATGTGTAGATTTACTTTTACTCCATGACATATATACGTGTCCACATTTGTCTGACAGCTTTAGTTACTTTACAGGTATACAATTCTTCATACCCTTCCTGTCCAGGGAAAACAATAGTGAACCAGTCAAATACTAGAGACAGCCTTGGATAAAGAGAAGTGTAGTATTTCCACAGTGTGATAACAGAACTGTTACTGCAGTAAAGGATCAGAGTGTGTATCCCCCTGTCAGTATGAGTGTGCGCTGTGAGGGTTCCCATGACCTCATCCTGAGGCAGCTGTAGCACCTGTCTCGCGAGATTCCGCGAGGCGATAAGTTGAAGAAACATGGCGTCGTCTAATTTGTTAAAGGTAAGAAGCACTTGAATATATGTTATTTCCCATATTTGCGAACAGATTTGAACTATTCGTTTTTGTATGTTTGAACTATTAGTGTATATAATTGTGTAGTCCCTATTGTGGCATACACGTGTATGCACTAATAGTGTAAATATATTAAATAAGCGCACAAATAGGCGCGACTGAAGTCACATTTGTTACCGTTGTCGTTTTTAAAGTCCTGTGTTGTGTCGGAGACACAAATTGCACCCACATGCTTAAAAAAAAAACAATATGTCTCCGCCTTTAACCAAATTGAACCGTAGGCTACGGGTTATCTAATCATGCATCCCGGCGACAACAACAGTATCCTCACAAGAACCGTATGAAGACCTGAACCCAACACCGGGGAGCAGGGGGCTCGAAGGGGACATAGACTTGGACACAAGATACCAAGCAGCTTCACTTGCTTGAAATGTTGCTAACAGGCTAGCGCTTTTATTTCGGCTAGCTAATGAATCAAGCTTGTCTCAAGACAGAATAATTCTCCATAGTGTCCACCAGGCCCAGAGACACAGCAGCTCCCAGCAGCCTCTCTGCTGTTCCCTGCGCTGTGTGTTCACACCATGACCGACACAGCCCGCCCCCGGGCCGCTAACTGGCCTCCCGGGTGTCCTTCGGCAGATAGACCTGTTGAAGAGCGTTCCAGGAGCCCCGGCTACCGTCACTTTTGAACTGGTACCTGGTGGTCGGTTTCCAACGGTGCCCTCTTTGTAACAACAAATTAGTTCCAGTGGAAAAAAACAACACGTCTGAACGCATTTCTTAAATGTGTTGCTCTTTTAAAGGTCCCATGTCATGCTTTTCCGGTTATTACCTGTCCCCTTGTGTGTTATGTAGCTTTTTCTGCATGTAAACGGTCTGCAAAGTCACAAACCCTCAAAGTACACCCTGTAGCGAGTACAACTCTAACACAGAAAAGACCTGTCTATGCTGCCCCAGAACGCCTCATTGGAGATTTTTCTTTTTCCATTTTTTTCTTCCTCAGTATAGTGACGTAACGATACCCAGGTCCAAATGGACCAATCCGTGGAGCTCCTCAAACACACACACTCATTCAGCCTTATATTTTCTCAGATGCGGAGCTTCGCCGGCACGCACACTCACTCAGCCTTATCTTTTCTCAGCCGCGACTCAGCGAATCTCCGCTGATCTCCGCACACAGCCAGGCTGTGAGTGTGTGTGTGTGTGTGCTCAGGCTGAGTTCCGCTGTGTCTCGCTGTCTCGCAGACCCCACACAGCAACCAGGAAATGACACCAGTAATCCAGCTCACACTGTCCGCTCCTCGAGCCTCAAAGGGCGGAGCAGCGAGCCCCGCAATGTCCTGCCAACACGGCCCCCAGACCCCACGCAGCATTCTCATCTGTTTGTCATTACTGGTGTCATTTTATGGTTGCTAACAAACGCCATTGTAACACATAAACACTGATGTTCCGCTGTAACGGTGGTGGACTCATCAGAACAGAGTGGGCGAGCTGACCAATCAGAGCACAGTGGGCTCATAGGGAGGGGGGCAGGAGCTCCAACAAGGCGTGTAGGACAGAGAGTGAATACACATACTATACAGAGATGCTGTATGAGAAACCAATGTGATTTTGGAACATTGAACAATGTAAATCTATTCTAGTAGACCTCAACAATGGAATTATGATCAGTAGAAATGGCCATGAGAAATGGACCTTTTAAATAATGCCATATGCCTGATTAGTTGACACCCCCCCCCACACCCTCTCTCTGGCCCGCTCAGCTGGAGGGACGGCTGGTGGAACAGGTGGAGATCTTTAAGTAGAGATCCACCAGCACCTGTCCTTCACAAAGCATTTAAACTGCAGCATACCCACTAATCAAACCACTCTTCACATTCAACATCAGGGACGTGCACAGGTACGGGCTAATGTTGCCCGGGCAACGGCCCGTTTGGCCTTTTTGGCTGACCTGCCCCTCTGGAGAGAGCGAGAGTTTGTTTTTATTTTTTCTGTTGTGGCCGAATCAATATGATAAGCCCACAATTAGTATTGTAGCGTCTCGCTGCGCGAAACACACTTTGTCAGCGCTGTCATCTGCCGGTGCGTTAAGACCACCTCAGTGTCGGATTTTGGAAACTTAATTTTGAGTTGTCTCATCATGGCAGTTAGGGTATAAGAGACAAACCAGGGGACTTTACTTCCTCTTGATACCGTCGGTTATTTACAAAAAAACACCTAAATATAGCCTACTTGTTGTTATTGTGCTTCTGTCTTTCTGTGTCTTTTCATCTGTAAACTCCCTCAATGGGGCCGCTCGCTCTCTTTTCTTGATCGCCCTTTCACGGGTGAACAGTTCACTGTCCCGCTTCATTGTAGGATTTCTGCCATCTCTACCACTTTAGTTTGACCATCTCTGTTATTAAGTTATGGAATACTAAATAAATAAGTAATTAGATACCTTACCGTTACTGCGCTCATAAAGAATGATAAGAATAAGAATAATGCGTATTGAACTGGTTTCATTAATTAGTGAGTTTATTTAAAGGTGGGGTAGGTAAGTTTGAGAAACCGGCTCGAGTGCGCAAGAATTTGAAAATACACAACCGGAAAAAATCTGCCACTTCCTTACAGAGCCCCTCCTCCAACACACACGAACGCGCACATGACCAATGAGGGCACGAGATAAGTTTGTGCACAGATGGAACATGGAAGGCTGACAGGCAGGTAGGCCATCCAGTTATTTTAGCCGGGCCGGCTAAAATGATTGGTCGTGCTTTTTACAGTACGGCTTCCACAGATGACATTTTTTTATGGATTTTTTGTCAAAGCACTTAAGATATTCATTGCTATCGGGATGTTAAGAGCATTCCATGGAATATAACAAAAAGTGTATCTCGAGCCGGTTTCTCAAACTTACCTACCCTACCTTTAAGGTAATTAGTTAGAGGCCCTATTTTATCAGTATGTATGTCTGCACAGCAGTTACAATGGTCAAACTACATTAGAACAGAATTGTCCCCATTTTGTCATTAATAGTTACTAACATTAGATATTTTTGATGAGATATGGACCGCAAAACAAAAAATGTCCCTGGTTTTCATTTTTAAAATCAAGTTACCGAATGCAAGTAGTCGCCTTAGCTTATTTTGTTATGAGATGTGAATTACTGATCAATTTAGTTGATGTAATAATCGTTTGGTTTCTTTTATATTAAAAACAAGTTACAATTTTCAAAAGGTCTTGTGTTTTTTATCGGGGGAGGCCCTTTTTCCAGTTTAGAGCAATAGCCCCTCCAAATGTCTGTGCACGTCCCTGTTCAACATGTTTGTACAATTTCCCCCAGAGAAAAGTGTGATAACTCACAACCCTTGATGTGTCTTCAGTCTTTATGCATGTCTTTGTGTATCTCTGCATCTCTGTCTTCACTTTCCTTCTCTCACCCAACACCTCCTTTGTGTTTGCTGGTTTTCATCCTTCCTCTTCTTCCTCCCTCTCCACCCATCCCATATCTCACCTCCAGAACAAGGGGTCCCTGCAGTTTGAGGACAAGTGGGATCTGATGCGGCCCATCGTTCTCAAGCTGCTCAGACAGGAAGCCGTCACCAAGCAACAGTGGTTCGACCTGTTCTCGTAAGTGAAGCACTCTGACCTGTTCCTTACTTTCCTCTGTTTTACCTCAAAGGGTTCCACTGCAGGATCAGCACAGCTGCTGCTGTCTCAGATCCTGAAGACCGCTCACAAATCACAGCCAACTATTTGAGTGCATTAAGCAGATACACACGTGCTATAGATAGGTTTAGTTGTAATCCCCACACAATGACACACAGTTGTAGGTTAGCCTTGTTGGATTGTTTCCCAATTATAACCTGGGATTGCACAGAGTCTTCTTTACAAAGCTGAAAGGGATAGTTGGGATTTTTGTAGGGGGGTTGTATAATGTAAAGGCTTTGGCATGCATAAGTTTGAAGAAGCAGACAGGAGCATTTAGCCTCCTAAAACCAAATGAATATCAGTTTCCCTGTGTGCTATATTTACAACATACGTACTGCTTTACCGCCTTATGTCTCTGACGCTGACCTGAGGCCATTATCTCTAGTCAGATTAGTCTCAATGTTAATACATGTACAAACATAGATTCACACATTTATTTTATGATTTAAAAAAATCTTAATATCTAGATCTAAATGACTCTCAAGAGGAAGCAGAGAACACATCTAAATGTAGCAAACACCTAGATGCCATATACTGTAGAATAGATAATAGCAATATGATGTACACATTTTTTCAAGATTTCCATAAAATCCCTTCAACTGCTATTACTTGATGTAAAACAAATGATTTCAGTATGTTGCAGGTGAGAGGAAGATTAAATGATTGTTGTTAATGTTCAACCTTTACAACAACCTACAGAGCTGTATACTTGGGCTAAGTTTTCCCCTTGTTTTGGGGGAAGGGGCATAGTATAAGCACAGGGTGTTCTTATCTTCACACATTGTTCTGCCCCTTGATGAAATGTGTGATGTTGGGCTATGACAAAGAATCACCTGACTTACTGTTTCACCTAAGGCCCCGGCTCCACGAGAACAAATACGGCAAAACGCATCGGAGTAATGTTGGAGCAGAACACCTCTGCTACGCGCCGTTCGTTGGATGAGGCTGGATCTCTATTAAATTAAGAAAGGAATTGAAAACACCGGAATCAAAGTTATAACAAATTATCTGAGTTTACTTCTGGTAGGAAACCAAACACATATACAAGTTATACAGAGTACTCGAGTACTCCGGACTTTCAGGTTTGTGATGCGATGCGGATAAAGGCGTCAGGACCAAACCAACTCATCAAACGAGATGAAAGTGACTTCAGGTTTGTGATGCGATGCGGACACAGATATCAGGACCAACCACTCACCAAACCAAAAAGCATTTTTACACTCAAAAACATCAGTATTCATATCTATTTTTGGGGCGGAGATCAGTCGACTCTTCCTTCCCATTTTCCTCCCAAGCGAATCAGAGAGTCCGTGAGGAGGAGCTGTGTAAGCTGATCACCTCCCCCAAGTGTCCTGACTGGCTGGATTCGCTTCTGGCCGGGTTCAATCAGAGGTCTGACCAGCACGTGAGATCCTAAATTACACCAGGTCAAAAGTCAACGTTTATCTCCACCCTATCTACTCTACATTCCCTTCCCCTGGGTTCTTCACATAAACTATCCTCCTTCAGACATTTAAACTTTTCCTCACCTATTTAACGATGTCTTTAACGACTTAAAACCAACATCTGGCTTTTAGGGGTGAAAAAGGCCAAGTTGGTGTGTGTTGTGAAAACAGAATCTCTGGATCAGTGAGTTTGAAAGTAAGAATATCAGTTCTATATATATGATTACCCATAAACCGTTGTGATTACATAAAACAGTTCAAATAATACATGTTTACTTCAATACAGTGTAGAATCATATCTTTTTACTTCAGTAACGCAAATGCAACCGCAAAAAAGCTTCCGACCACACGCAATATACACCGGATTGTGTCAAGCTCCACGAGACGGCTCCGTTTACATCCAACCGCTGGAAAAGCTGCAGTACATATGCCGAACCTGTACGTGGCGCTGTAACTTCCTCCACAAAAGCAGCAACTTCCTCCACAAAAGCAGCGAAGAAGAATGGTTGTCATGGCTGCACTTCTGTTTATTCTCCGCGGTGGGGGCCGAGGGAACCGCGCAGAGTTTTTCGCCGGTCAATGTGTGTTAAAGTTTAAATCTTCATGCTTCCTCATGCAGCAGCTGATCCAGTAAGTAAACCCGACAGTAAAAATAAACATATTTATAACTAGTTTAGGTAGTTTGAGAGGTAATTAAAATAGCTAAGGGTGGTGATCTGACTTGAAGTGTGTGTTTTGCTCTCGCTGCATCACAGCGGGAGGAGCTGCGTGTCTCCGTCCTGTCAGATTAGACTTCACTCGCGTTTATGTTCATATCGAGATAAAGATAAATAATCTGAATTCAGTGTGCAGTGTACTTATGCGGAGGTGAGCAGCAGAGGTGGGGAGAGGCGGGGAGAGGCGGGGCTATGAAACGCATGACCGTATAGGCGACCCCACGGCCCCGTTGGACCCCCCCAGAGCGCTCCGTTCCCAGATCTATCCACCTTTGGACCCGTTGTCGTTTGCGGGGTATGTTTCTACGTTTCCCTTACGGCGTCGTCGAGCTTAAAGGGCTATACGCATGAGAAATATGCGGATTCAACCCGTTTTCGTCCTCGTGGAGCCTACGCCTAAAACAACCGAGTGGGCAGTGTGGAGAGTTTAAGGGTTCAACAAGAGGAAGTGGATGATTTCTCTTCATTTCGTCTTGCGATATTGTATGAGGAGAGGGCACAGGAACAAGTAGAGTTTAATATTACATATATTATGTCAGGAGATATTTCTGAAAATATATATGAATTGTGTTTGTAACATGTTGAGTAAAGGCTAACAAAAGTGTCCCAGAGATTAAGGTTCACAGTTTGACTAACCCACTTCAAATAAACTTTATTGATGTCCCATTTCCTTCTTGTTCCCCAGAGACGTCCATGCTGTGTGTCTATGGGATGATAAAGGACCAGCTAAAATCCATCAAGCTCTTAAAGAGGACATCCTAGACTTCATAAAACAAGCACAGGCTGTAAGTGTGTGTGTGTGTGTGTGTGTGTGTGTGTGTGTGTGTGTGTGTGTGTGTGTGTGTGTGTGTGTGTGTGTGTGTGTGTGTGTGTGTGTGTGTGTGTGTGTGTGTGTGTGTGTGTGTGTGTGTGTGTGTGTGTGTGTGTGTGTGTGTGTGTGTGTGTGTGTGTGTGTGTGTGTGTGTGTGTGTGTGTGTGTGTGTGTGTGTGTGTGTGTGTGTGTGTGTGTGTGTGTGTGTGTGTGTGTGTGTGTGTGTGTGTGTGTGTGTGTGTGTGTGTGTGTGTGTGTGTGTGTGTGTGTGTGTGTGTGAGAAGACATGCAATCCTTTATGTCAACCTGATGGCAATCCAACATGTTGCTATCGTGTCCTACTAAGCACCCTGACCCCCTGTATCACTCTCAACACCACACCAGTCACAATTGAAAGCAGGCAGATTGACTTGAAAGCTGCAGTAGTGCAGGGTCAAACATGCAGAGAGGGAAACGGAAATGCTGAATGTTCCTTTCTTATCCACAAAGAAACAAATCAAATATCTTTATTAAATTGGAAGCACAAAGAAAAGCCACTTTTTAAAGTTAAGGTGATTTCTCTTAAATCAGAAAGGTCTTTGAAAACGTTTTTTTCTTTTGCATAACAGGGGAAAAAGGTTTAAAAAACAAAAAACCCAAGCAAACAAGCACCATAATGATCTGAGCAGCACCCCCTCTCTATGTTCTCAATGTTTATTCATGCTAGCTGTTTAATACATTCATTTCAAGCTATTGCTATACATGCACAATGTGAGCATCCAACATCAAACAATAGTTTACATTTTGATATTATAGAACATATAGACGGCAGAAAATGCTCTTTACAAAAGTTAAATATTGAAAGGGATGCCAAAAATGAATCAGCGGAATGTGTGAGAAAGGAGAGGAGCGTTCCCCTCGCTCTGGGACATCCCAACGTGAATTAGACTGACACTATTACCTTAACACAAATCACAAATCAACACTGGCTTCCTGTTCTGGTATTTATGATCATAACTAACAAATATCAGTTCATTTGGAATTTTAACAAATTATGCCAGTGTTTATGAAATGGCACTGCTGCTGCGGTTGTTGTTGTTGTTGTTGTTGTTGTTGTTGTTGAGAAAACAACTCCAACCTGGTATTGTTTGCTGTATACTCAATGCTTTTGTCTTTTCTCAGTCTGGGATGTGTCATGCTGTGATTTGTTCCTGATGATGCACAAAGTCTTAAGAGTCAAAAAGGTCCACAATGGAAGTTAGCTTTTACTGTACTTGTGTCTGTATTCTCCACAACTGAATTGTATGACTGCAATGCTGTAAATGCAGTCTTGTTTTTACCTTTACTTTTGTCAAATGAACCTATACAAATCTATAACATACACCTATCCACTTAAGAACAAAAGAGCTACGATTTGCTGTGGACTTCACTATACTACAAAAAAAACCACATTAGTTGTTTGGAAAATAGAAATGGTCCCTGTTAAGCACATCACAAGGTGCATCAAGGACTGTGCCCCAGTTTGCAGTTGCTCAAGTAGAAGAGGAGGATGGATAGATTGGGCCTTCCAAAACTCTCCACACTCCAGCATTGTTCCACAGAGCATCCATACTCTATAATAAAGTGAATGCACTGGTCCATTGTCTAGATGCTGCCTCTCATTAACACATTTGCTTCAAAAAACTTTATAGACAATAACATGCAGAACAATAATTGCAGGGAAATAACATTCTCAGTATTTATTTGTTCTATATCCTCTAACTGTTGCTGGTATTTGTTGTCATGGCAGCGGGTTCTGAGCCACCAGGATGACACCGCGCTGCTGAAGGCTTACATCGTGGAGTGGAGGAAGTTCTTCACCCAGTGCGACATCTTGCCCAAACCCTTCTGTCAGCTGGAGATCACGCTCATGGGAAAACAGGGCAGCAACAAGAAAACCAACATGGAGGACAGCATTGTACGGAAGGTGAGACGAGGAGGGGCTCAGGATGGGGAGAGGGAAGCTGAGCAACTATAAGCTCAACAATGTGATGAGGAAGTAAATACCTGAAGAGGGGAGCAGCAGGTAGGCCGAACCACTCTTGGACAATTGATGGTAAAAGCAGACGGAGAAAAGATCAAATAAAGTAAGAGATGGCGTTACAAGAAAGAAACCCATTTCCTCCAATGTGATGGGAAATAAAACCATCTTAATGTGTCAAAATAAAAAAAGTGAATATCTTTTGAAAATGTCCTTGAGTTATAATGTTTAAAAAGTTTCATTATTTTGACCTACTAAATCATTATTTTTAGGAAGTTCCTCACAATGTTTAGATACTGAGTCATCTTTTTTTTCATCACAAGGCTCATTTTTAATCTTTAATTTCCACTGGCATGGATGGGTTTCCGTAGTAAAGGGACCTTAAATCATAAAAAACCAAAGCAATTTAACACACGCAGGGTGGCTGGCGTCTCCCTTAGGGATAAGGTGAGGAGTTCAGTCATCCGGGAGGGACTCGGAGTTGAACCGCTCCTCCTTCACGTCGAAAGGAACCAGTTGAGGTGGTTCGGGCACCTAGTAAGGATGCCACCTGGGCGCCTCCCTATGGAGGTGTTCCAGGCACGTCCAGCTGGGAAGAGACCGAGGGGTAGACCTAGGACCAGGTGGAGGGATTATATCTCTTGGCTGGCCTGGGAGCGCCTTGGGATCCCCCAGTCAGAGCTGGTTGATGAGGGGAACGGAACGTTTGGGGCTCTCTGCTGGAACTGATACCTCCGTGACCCGACCACGGATAAGCGGGAGAAGATGGATGGATGGATGTTCCTCTTGATACACATTTATTACTGCTCTAACTTAGACCGCCCTCACCTACTTTTCAGCTCATGTTGGACACGTGGAACGAGTCAATCTTCTCCAACATTAAGAGTCGCCTGCAGGACAGCGCCATGAAGCTGGTGCACGCTGAGAGGCAGGGGGAGGCCTTCGACTCGCAGCTCGTCATAGGAGTACGGGAGTCCTATGGTAAGATAACCATATGACAACACATGGAAGGCGTTATTATTGCTAATAGGTGCAGAAAAACAAATAAGTACAATAATTGATAAATAAACCACTTCTTCTGTAGATCTACTGTAAATATTCATGTTCAATATGCTCTTCCCCCCCCCAGTGAACCTGTGTTCCAACCCAGAGGACAAGCTGCAGATCTACAGGGATAACTTTGAGAAAGCCTACCTGGACTCCACAGAGAGGTTTTACAGAACACAAGCACCGTCTTACCTGCAACAGAATGGCGTACAGAACTACATGAAATATGTAAGCTGTAATAACACTTATTATTAAGTAAAAGTGTTAGTTTGAGGGATGTGGTTGAAAAGTGGAAAATAATGTCACTAATGAATGCTCTAATGAAGGGATGATTGCTACTAATGTTATATGAAATGTATCTATTAGGATAAACCCCTTGAGATGCACCATCTCGTTTTCAAGGGGGTCCCGACATGTGCCGACAAATTAATTTACGCTATGTAATGACAGCTCCTCCACTAATCCAGTAGTTTCATGTGAGCTGTGGTAATAACAGACACATGGAGCCACGTGGGAGATGTAGTTGTTGTTAATAACTTTTGATTTCTTTGGTGTGTGTTTCCCTGCAGGCAGATACAAAACTAAGAGAAGAGGAGAAGAGAGCACTCAGATATCTCGAGACACGTCGCGAATGTAACTCTGTTCAAGCAGTAAGTGTCGAGGATCTGAATTATCAGATGTTTTCTGGTCCTCTTATCAGATTACGTACAGTTTGTTGGCCTAGAACAGCAAACAAAGCTCTGGAAAAAACATCAAACTGCAAACAAAGTTAGAGACAGGTTAATGGGGAAAGTACAACCTTTAGCAGCTAGAAAGTCAGGATTTGTTGGAATGAATGTTAGACATTAATTGAATGTAAATTGAGTGTAAACAGGAAAGTGTTTGCCATCTTTATTATAATATGTCATTGTTGTGGTTACAGCTGGTTGCACTGCCCTCCACTGGCACACAAATAATCCTTCTCAATACTCACTTATGACCCACTAAATGGGTGTGCTGATATCTATCTATTGACACCCTGCCGACCTGCCTGTATTTTCACTTTTTGACATGATGGCGTTCATGTCAGTTTCCCTAACCCCCATGTGCTTGCTGTGTGTCCTCAGCTAATGGAGTGTTGTGTGAATGCTCTGGTAACATCGTTCAAAGAGACCATCCTAGTCGAAAGTCCTGGGATGATCAAACGAAACGAAACAGACAGTGAGTACGGCTGCACACACTGACATCTTTTTTTTCTCTATCTCGAATGTAAAAGTAAGACTTGCTAAATGTAAAAGACGCAGGTTCTGTTTAAATGCATGTCAACATACTGTTCATATTTGAGTCATTGTAAATAGGAAGTTCAATAGCTTCAACATTCTCCCTACCACTGAGGATTCATCCTAAGAAGGACTCAAATTGAGTTTGTAGTGCTGTAAAATGGCTTAATGTGGATTTAGTTTTCACCTGAAATGCCCGGATGTATCATAGATTACCTCAAATTAAAGGGGACCTATCATGCAAAATGCACTTTTGTACGTCTTTTATACATGAATATGTGTCCCCGGTGTTCCAGGGAACTCACCAAGTGTCAGAAAACACAACCCTCTCTATTTTCCTCCATACCCAAATCTCTAAAAAAGGGGCTGCAACGGATCTGATAAAAACTGATCCAGATTTGAACACTGCCCTGACGTCAGGACGGTGGCGCTACGGCTATTGGGCCAACTCTCCACCTATCAGGGGAATGTGGGGTTGGGCCACGGCCGGCCATTGCCGCTCGAAAGCGCTGGAGACGCTGTAGTACATATGCCAGGCCTGTAAGTGGCGCTGTAGTCTGCCACAAAAGCAGCGAAGAAGACTTCCCGCCCATAGTTACCATGGTTACCCTTCTGTTTATTCTCCGCTGTGGCTTTTTTTTTGTGGCCGTTTGCTCCCGCTGCTTTAATTCAATGCAATCCCTCCCCGTCGAGGCAAGCACTGTAATTCTCTCCGGTTAGTCCACCAGCAGATGACAAACGGAGTCGGTTGCCGAAACCCTCGTGCATGCATTTGTCACCACTCGCTTGGACTACTGCAATGGTGTCCTGTTCGGGGTTCCCAAAAAAACCCTGGACAGGCTCCAGTATGTCCAAAACTGTGCTGCCAGGGTACTCACGCACACAAAGCCGTGGCAGCACATCACTCCCACCCTCATCCACCTACACTGGTTGCCGGTCAAGTCCCGTATATCATACAAAATCCTCCTCCTCACCTACAAGTCCCTCCATGCCCTTGCCCCCCAGTACCTATCGGACATCCTTCACCCACATGCCCCACCCCGGAACCTGCGGTCCTCAGACTCTGGCCTGCTTATCATCCCCCGCACCAAACTGCGAACCTTCGGGGACAGAGCCTACAGTGTGGCAGCCCCCACCCTCTGGAACGCTCTCCCTGCGGAGATTCGCAACATCCCCACACTAGACGCCTTCAAAAGGGCCCTCAAGTCCAATCTGTTTGCAAAGGCTTTCGGCCCCTAATCGATCTGTTGTTTTGTCTGTCCGACTTTTGTTTTGTTATGTTTGTTTTTTTCCTATACTAGTTGTAAAGCGACCTTGGGTCCCTTGAAAGGCGCTATATAAAATAAATCTATTATTATTATTATTAAACACCCACCTCTCCGCCTCTTCCAAGGAACGAGGGGACCGTGCGGCAGAGTTTCAGTTAGGTTTTCTTTCGCCGGTCAAGATGTCCGTTAAAGTTTAAATCTTCCGGACAAAATTAGAAAAGTGCCGGTCAAAGGTCTTCTTTGTTATTTATTGAGCTTTAAAACAAATGAATAATGACTCTATATAATAATATAATAAAACACGGAGGACGGAGATTTCTTTTTCTCCCCCTCTTCTGACTTGATCAGAGCACGTCTCCCCTCTCCTGCAGGGGGGCGTGGTCAGCAGAATCAGCCCCGTAGACAGCAAACAGCAAATAGAGCGAAATGAGGCATGGCTAAAATGCATGATCTGTTTGGTATTTTGAAAACAGAAACGTATAAATATACCTTATATAGGTATGGCCCTACAATATATCATTTAAATATAGCATGATAGGTCCACTTTAAGTAAGAGATGTGAGTTTACTAGACATTAAGTTAATAAACAATTAAATATTGTATAATTTTGCCTTTGCCTTAAAATAATACTGGAAAGTAATGAATTGAGTGGAACAGGAAATGTTGATTTTACATTTGTGATAAACAAACTTCAGTCATTGCTCGGAGTGGTTGTGCAATAATCATAAGAGTTTCATCGACACAGTCATGATGCAGATGTTCACAGCTTCAAAGAAAGACTTATTGAGAACAGTCTGCTGGTAGTGCCATACCTAATTGTTAAAATAATAGGCCTGAATATAAGCTAATATTAATTATGTTGTCCCCCCCCCCCGCCCCGCCGGAGCAGGGCTGCACCTGATGTTCTCTCTGATGGACAAGGTCCCCTGCGGCATTGAGCCCATGCTGAAGGACCTGGAGGACCACATCTGTAACGCTGGCCTCGCTGACATGGTGGCTGCTGCAGAGACCATCACTACTGTACGTACACACACACACGCACGCACACACATACACACACACACACACACACACACACACACACACACACACACACACACACACACACACACACACACACTCACACTCACACTCACACTCACACTCACACTCACACTCACACTCACACTCACACTCACACAAACCTCCAGGCTGACTACTGCAATGCACTCCTCATCGGGATCCCTAACAAAAGCATCCAGAAGCTCCAGTACATTCAGAACAGCGCTGCTAGGATCCTGATGAGGGTGCGCAAATATGATCACATCACCCCCATCCTTAAATCTCTACACTGGCTCCCCGTGGAACTGAGGATCGAATACAAGGTCTCCGTCCTCACCCACCAGTGTGTCCATGGAACTGCCCCTCCCTACCTCAAGGAACTCCTCACCACCCATACCTCCTTGCGGACCACCCGCTCCAGCAACTCCAACCTCCTCAAACCCCCCAGGACCAAGCTCCGTACTATGGGAGACCGGGCCTTCTGCTCGGCTGCTCCCAGACTGTGGAACGCTCTCCCCGACCATATGAGAGCACCACAGACCGTGGAGGCTTTTAAAAAAGGCCTCAAAACCCATCTCTTCAAAAGAGCCTTTGCCTAGACCTTTCATTTATTACTACCCTTTCATTTTATTTTATTTGTATTAATAATAATAATAAATTCTATTTATATAGCGCTTTTCTAAGACCCAAAGACGCTTTACATTTGGGGAAGGGTAGACAGACAAGGACAGGCAACAAAACAACAACAAAACAAAAACAAAACAGAAAAAAAACAAAAAAAAACAGAAAGCAGTCAGGAGGAAGTGGGGGGGGGGGCTTATGGGTATACAGATTTGAAGAGATGGGTTTTGAGGCGGGACTGGAACAGGGTGAGGGACTCGGACTCACGGAGGTCTTGGGGGAGGGAGTTCCAGAGCTTCGGGGCTGCCACAGAGAATGCTCTGTCCCCAAAGCTCCGGAGTTTGGCCTTGGGGATGGAAAGCAGACCGGCTGAGGTGGATCTGAGGGACCGGGGTGGTTGGTAGAGGATGAGGAGGTCAGTGAGGTAGGGGGGGGCCAGGTGGTGGAGGGCTTTGTAGATGAGTACCAGGAGTTTGTGTTGGATGCGGTGTGAAACGGGGAGCCAGTGAAGTATTGCTTTTTATTCATTCTACCGTGTTGTATACTGTTTATATATTGTTCATGCTCACTGCTTGTAGCACTTCGGGATTTGTAGTCAAATATGAAGTGCTTTATAAATTAAACCCATTATTATTATAAACACACACACGCACACACACACACACACACACACACATACACATACACATACACATACACATACACACACACAGGGCCGTCCCTGGCCAACATGAGGCCCCACGCAAAGTTATATGATGAGCCTCCGTTTCGCAAGCGTCGACGGGGACGGGGTGCTAGTGGAGCCTCGCACCACCGTGCCGCACCACACTAATGGCGCAGTTCCACTACAGCGCGGAGCTCGCTTTAAGCGTGCCGTGTCGTGCCGTGCACGTTTTTGGTTGCGCTTCCACTAGGCCTAGTCACGGCCCGGCCCGGCCCGGGGCCACTTTTTCACGTCTTTTCTGGCCCGAGAAAATTGTGGTTCTATCGGGGCCAACAAACAGGGCTGAGTCGGGCTGAGTATGCTAAACTAGAGAGAGGAGCGCTGGCAAGGGGGCTACAACTACAACAAGATGGACATATTTGACCGTGATTTAATTGTAATACACGTTTCAAAATGATGCCGAAGTAACAACATACTGATACCGGTTAGTAAAAACCATGAATTAATGCTTTGTCAAGTCTGCAGACAGACGGCAGGGGAAAAACCTTTTAAAATGCGTGTTTTCTAAATGGAGATTGGCTAAGCTAACGCAGTATATGCTCCGACCGTCCACACTCACAACAACGGCCTATACAGACATAAATAAAGCAGCGACTGTATTCACCATGACACAGGCAGTCTGTGGTTTGTACTTGTTTAACTTTTGTCGAGTTTCTGAACATATATAAGGAGCTGTGAGCTCTGAGGGCTAACAGCTAACGGCTGTGTTGTTTTTCTGGGGTTCTCATTGAAGATGACGTCACGGCTCCGCCTACACTGCGTTACTATAGTAACTACCCCAGTTCCTAAACTGTAATGGAAGCGCAGCATGAAGTGAGTCGGCCCTGTTAAGGCCAAGCCGTACCGAGCCGTACCGAGCGTGGCCGAGGCCGACCGTGTAGTGTGTGCCATAATTGCGCCGCATTTTCGGCTCAGTCGAGGCACCCTCCACAAGATGAGGCCCCTTCCGCGAGGTGAGGCCCCGCGCAGTCTGCATGATCGGGCTGTAGGGAGGGACGGCCCTGCATACACACACACACAAAATGTCACTACCAGTAGAAGTCCTGCTTTAATAGACCATTCTATTAGAAAGCCCCGTTACATGTAAAGGTCCAGCAAGAAAATGTGAAGTATGTAATTGTGATCAGGACAATGTATTTAAAGAAGAAAACGTAGAACAATATTTTGTGAAAATAATGAGAACACAGAAAGCCCTTAGTGACACTTCACAGGGTTTGCTTAGTCCAGCCAACATTTCCCATCACACTATTATTATTATTATTACGTAACAATTGTTAAAAGGAAAATCAATACAACCCAATTGTTAAGTATTTAGTGTGGAGTATTCATTTAAGATATCCCAGATCTAAAACCCATATTGTAGTTGATTTGTTTCCTTAAGCAAATGAACTTCAACACTATTGAGTTCTCACAGTGTGTAGTGAACAACATTAACATTAATGAAAGAGGGTATCTTTACAACATGTGCATTATTTCCAAATGTTTGTATGTTTGTTCGTCCAGGACTCGGAGAAGTACGTTGAGCAGTTGCTGACTTTGTTTAACCGCTTCAGTAAGCTGGTGAAGGAAGCCTTCCAGGACGACCCTCGCTTCCTCACTGCAAGAGACAAGGTCTGTGCAATGTGACCTCCAGAGACAACCAAGAAACACATGACATATAATGTTCAGTGCTAAAGTCATACAGTTCATTCCTGCTCACACTGTATTTGCATCTTAAGTGAGCAAAGGTCATTGTTGGATAGTCAAAGCCTACAGCTGTCTGAGTCCTACACCAATGATCTGCTCGTCTTCACAGAACAGGAATACACCCCTAACGTTAGGACCTCAGAAACAACGCAGCCTTGGTTAACTTCATTCACAGCTGGAATAAAAGCAGAGCAGAGATACAGACTGATCTACCTTAAGTCCCTTCCTTAATGTTTTAATGTAGAGCCTCCCTTGTTTTACTTTTGAAAGCATTTTATTTTCTTATTCCTTTATGTTCCTGCCTTTCCTAACCTTTTCATACACTGTATTGGTTTGAATACACCAGGATACCAAACTTGTTTCTGTCTGTTTTCTTTTAAAGCAGAAATGGATAACAGTTACAAGTGGATTTATTTCATTTTATTTAATCGTTTATTTGAATAGGGACAATGCACATTAATGAACACAAATAATGCTTCAAGTGTAAATATGCCGGATTTGAGCTTTGAGCTCATTTCCATCCAACATATAAGAACATGACATTTATAAACATAGCAACAAATAAATACATGATATGCAAAAAGAGCAAGAGCAGCACACACAAGTATTTACCACATGGCAGTACAATGTAGCAGCTACGACATATACAGTGCAAGAGGAGATACAAGAGCTACATCAAGTGCAAGAGGAGATACCCCTGTGTTAAAGTGCATTTAGCGGTGATTACACGTCTGTTGGTTTCTAGGGGGGTTTCTAATTTGTCTAAACATTTAGCAAAAGTGCTCCACATTCAGACGGAGAAATGCACCGGGGTTCGACTGTCTTTCTAGTAGCTCTGTAGCCCCATCCACGAGTAACGTTTCCACGTCAGGTGTTATGTATGCTAGCAGCAACACACGGAGCTAACTCAATGATACAAACATGGGTTAATGATTAGAGGTAACTGAGTTATTTAATTTGTTAAAGTTTCAGCTATTCTGTTTACAGTTCTGTCATCACATTAGTTAATACCATTTGTTAAAACATTGTTGTTTCTTTTGATGTGAAATATTATGCATTTAATTTAAATAAAAAGCAATGTTAATTTTGTTCACAATTTGTTTTTGTTTTTCTCCAAAAGAACCGATAAGAGTACCGTTTAAAGACCGGATCGATAAGCGGTATCGATAAAAGTAGTAGTATCGTTAAAACCTTAACGATACCCATCCCTACCCGTATCTGAGTTGGGAGGCTATTCCAGAGTGAGCTGCCTTTAATGGAGAGGACATTTTGTCCAAAAGTGGTCCGTCTGTGGTGGACTTCACAGTCTCCTCTGGTTTCTGACCTAGTGCAGCATCCAGTGTGTTTTCTGTGGATGAATTCCCCTAAGGGAGGGGGGGGGGGGGCAGTCCAACAACAGTTGGCACTGCTGTTGAGGCGTTTACTGTTTTGTTAATACAAATCTTATCAGGACTTATAAGGGGATTTATAACCTACTAATAATGCTTATTAATAGGACCAGGAATAAATAGCATTACTAAACATTAAACATTTTCAGTATCTTTTGACTTTTGATACATCTAAAGTATAACTAACACATTATTTTACAAAGTTAACACATTTTCGTCACTAAAACAAACTGTTGTTTGATCCTCCCTTTTCCCCCTGCAGGCTTACAAGGCCGTGGTAAATGACGCCACCATCTTCAAACTGGAACTGCCAACCAAACAGAAGGGGTGAGGAAACCTCTCGGTGTCACTAAGGAAATGATCCAGTGTTCAAAGTGTCACTGCAAGATAGTTTATTCTGTTTGATTGAGTCACAACGTCGTAGTGTGTTTGTAGTTCTTTTGGCTACTCCTTTATGCCAAAAATCATAATCATGATTATTTTGGTCCATATTGAGACCAAGATGAGTAAGAAAATCTAACCGTGGCGTGGGTGCACTGCAGTTAAGAAAAGGGATGAAAACTCAAGGTCAGAACAGAGCGTCATGTGACAAATGGAATGCTGTACTTTTTCATCTTCCAGCTCTGTGTAATTGTGTGTCTGTGTGTGTCCATCCATCTAGTGTTGGTATGAAGACTCAGCCGGAGTCCAAGTGTCCGGAGCTGCTGGCTAACTACTGTGACATGCTGCTAAGGAAAACCACGCTCAGCAAGAAACTCACCTCAGAGGAGATTGAGCTCAAGCTCAAAGAAGTGGTGAGTCTCTGTCCTTACAGCCTGAACAGGCACACCTCGGGGTAAAGGCACTTGATGACACTCTTACACTTACTTTTCCTTCAAAGTGCTTGGATTATAATCCTCGAAAATTCAAACCCTGTTTTTATCTTTCCTCCTTGTAGCTGCTGGTGTTGAAGTACGTTCAGAATAAAGACGTGTTCATGCGTTACCACAAAGCACATCTGACCCGGCGCCTGATTCTGGACATTTCAGCAGACAGCGAGATTGAGGAGAACATGGTGGAGTGGCTGAGAGTGAGTTCTCTTTCATTACCCTTCTTTGTCACACACAGACTGTGAGTCCACAGTTTAGGAGCTGTACTAAGGAGCAAGGACATCTTTGGGGGAACAACAGGCAGGAGTACCATCTGTTATCCATGGATGTTCTTGTGTCATTTTACAAATTTGAACAAGACTTTAAGTAATATGTTTCTGAATAATGATCATTATTTACAATATGTAATTTACTACTCAGAGGGGTCTCAATCAAAACCATTAAAACATATTCAGGTAAAACGATCAAGATCTAATATGCATCATAAAGATGTGGCTTTAACTGGTGAAAAAGTCCATCTATGACAGCATCTGGCAGACAATGCTGACGCATGCACCAATGGGGGTACAACGCATCCAAATGAAAACAACCGTTTCCTTCATCCAATTGTTTTTGTATTATTCAAATGAAATAACCACAAATCTGACCAAGAGTTTTGTGCCTTTGTACCAGGTTTGGTGAATTAATTTCCCCTTTGCTCTCCTCATTGTGTCCTGTGTGTGTTTGTAGGAGGTAGGAATGCCTGCTGACTATGTGAACAAGTTGGCCAGGATGTTTCAGGACATCAAGGTCTCAGAGGACCTCAACCAGGTCTTCAAGGAGATGCACAAACACAACAAGCTCGCACTACCAGGTAACACACACACACACACACACACACACACACACACACACACACACACACACACACACACACACACACACACACACACACACACACACACACACACACACACACACTCTAAAGTGCATGAATGTCCTATCATTTATTTTGTCCTCATGAAGGTGAAACTCTTGACGAGACATGCACCTGCGAGCATGGGCGTCTCTTTGTTTTCCAAAGTGGTGGGGACACTTTTTTCAGATACAAATAAAACTGTATTGCACGCCACCCATATTTTTGTACACACTAATCTCCATACTATTTGCTAGAAACACCTGTATAGACAGGATTTACAGACTCACTGTCAGGCTAGAGACTGTTTTTGTAGGAACCATTATATATGTGTTGGGGGGGGGGGACAATTATTGAGGAAGCCAAGGATCTCCGTCTTTTTTTAAGAGCCTTGAACATGCCTGTTCTCCACAGTGACGCAAATGCACACTCACATGGTGTGAAAACGATGTTTGCAAACCGAACCCCTGCAGGGGGTCTGGGGGGATCCTCTTTTAACATGTAAACTACGCATTCTGGTACTTTCTAACAAGAAAATAATGCATTTAGACAACATTTACTTCAAGCTAACATTCAGTTTGAATCTAACCTTCACAGTTAAAATGTTGATGCGTCCACGTAACACAGACTTATCAGAGTTCTTCCGTTATATTTCCCTGCAGCGGACAGTGTGAACATTAAGATCCTGAACGCTGGAGCGTGGTCCCGCAGCAGTGAGAAGGTGTTCGTCTCTCTGCCCACGGAGCTGGAGGACCTGATCCCTGAGGTGGAGGACTTCTACAAGAGGAACCACAGCGGCAGGAAGCTGCACTGGCACCACCTCATGTCCAATGGCATAGTGAGTGAGCATTTCTACAGACACACAGAATACATGCAGACACACAGAGTGTCACAGAGCTCACCCTCTGAACCCTCTGAAGTCTATCAGACTGTGTGTGTCTACAACAGTAAAATGCCACTTGATGCGACAATATTATCTAGAAATGTCACATATATAATTATATACACGCATAAAGGCCATTTCTCTGCACAATGATTACATTTTATACTTTAAGTACATTTAGCTAATAATGATACTGTTTTACTTTTACTTAAGTAAGATTTCGAATGCAGGACTTTTACTTGTAATGAAGTATTTTGACATGTTTTGGTATTTTACTCAAGGGAAGCATCTGAATACTTCTTCCACCTCTGCGCAGACTGCTTATCTTAATGAACTAGCTGGTAGCAGTAGCATAACGGTAGTGGATGTAAAGTGGAGTGGATCTACTGTGTAGCCACATACTTCTCTTCTCACCTTTTCTTTTGTTTCTGCTCCCTTGTGCTCAGATCACCTTTAAGAACGAGGTGGGGCAGTACGACCTGGAGGTGACCACCTTCCAGCTCGCCGTGCTGTTCGCCTGGAACCAGAGGCCCCGAGAGAGGATCAGCTTCGACAACCTGAAACTGGCCACAGAGCTGCCCGATGCAGAACTACGGCGCACACTCTGGGTGAGACTAGGGATCATTGAAATGCTCCATTTCAAACCAATTATATTAGAAGAAGACATTATAAGATATTTACTACTATTTAGCATGCTTAATGTATTCTTTGCCACTCGTCGGTAAAAAAAGACCTCCTGCACCACAGAGCCACCACGCCATCTGCTGCAACTGAGATCAAACTCAAGTTTAACAGGACAGCCATGCAGTCTACTTACCATTTACAAGGCTTACTGTTAATTGAATAGTGTTCTGTGTTTTCTGACAGCCATATATAAGTGTGTGAATGCTTACTATGTGTAAAAGCATTTTCAGGGGTCGCAGAGACTGGAAAGCGCAGTATATTTACTAAGTCATATTAGTCATTGTGCATCTGATCAAACTTTGTTCAAATGCAATCACACTGTTAATAAGTTGGCACTGATGGTGTTTAATATGTAAAGCTGACCTCGTCTCTCCTCTGTGTGCAGTCTCTGGTGGCGTTTCCTAAGCTGAAGAGACAGGTGCTGACCTATGACCCCTCTGTCAGCACCCCCAAAGACTTCACAGACAGCACCATCTTCTACGTCAACCAGGAGTTCTCGATCATGTATGATATGGTATCTTTAGAAATAAGGACAATATTTTTCTTTTCAAATGGGATGCAACTAACAGTCAATTATTTTCTTTATTGATTGATTAGTTTGTTGTTATAAATACATGTAAAAAGAATGCAGATCAGTCGTATGACCTCCTCTAATGTTTTCTTTTGTCCACAACTTACAGACATTCACATTTCTGTCAAAGAGGAGAAATAGTTTGCGTTTAATTCAACATTTGACAACTGATGAAGTTATCTAAAAAACAACACGTTTCTTGAACCCTGAGTAAAGTCTTTCATTGGTAAAACCTGAGAACCTGCATGTCCCCATTGATCCAGGTTTTCATTCAGTCCAGAGATCTACAAAAGGTTTCATTATTTCCAAAGTCTGCTGCTCTTTGAATTATGTAAATAATTGTGAAATGATAATTATCACAAAATATGTAAGTTCTTATTCCCATAGATAAAACAGCAATGTCGGGTGTGCTCTACACTTCAACTCTTTAACCAGCAGACGATGCAATGTCTGATATCTGTGTCTGTCTTATTTTCTCAGCAAAAACTCCAAAGTCCAGAAGCGTGGAAAGATCAATCTGATTGGCCGGCTGCAGCTGACCACTGAGCGAATGAGAGAAGAGGAGAACGAGGGAATCGTTCAGCTCAGAATACTCAGGACTCAGGTACGAAAATACATTTTATAATACACATTCAAGCTATCCTCAAAAAGGTTAACAGGACGTTTCTTTCAAATACCAAGCTGGACATGATTTTGTGTTCAGTTACAGTCCGGAAACATTGTAAAGGCTTTGTTTATCTTGTTTCTCATCCAGGAGGCCATCATCCAAATCATGAAGATGAGGAAGAGAATCAGTAACGCCCAGCTGCAGACGGAGCTGGTGGAGATCCTGAAGAACATGTTCCTGCCTCAGAAGAAGATGATCAAGGAGCAGATCGAGTGGCTCATCGAACACAAGTACATAAAGAGGGACGAGACGGACATCAACACCTTCCTCTACATGGCCTAGGAGCCAGGAACCATGCGCTCTGTTCTTATTTACCCCTGGCCTGTGAGCGGCGCTTTGAAACGCTATTAGAGGAGAAGGAAACGAGGATGTGTGTTGAAGGACGAGGAAGAGCATTTTCAACAAAAGTGGGGAGATTTCTGTGTTTGTGAGACGCCAGTGTGTTATGGTGGTGAGAGTCTGTCCTGCTGCCCTCTAGTGTTAGTGAGAGGAGAGGGCCGCTGTCTGCCAGCAGCTGCCATCAAACAGACAGACAGAAATACTTCCTGCCTTACTTTGTCGGCCATGGACTGCAGAGGAGGAGCTGGGAGGAGGACGAGCTGATCAATCTTTGCTTTCACCTAATGCCACAGCTGCACCTCTCAGTGGCAGCCCTTCTGCATCCCTCCTATTCTACATTTGTCTTATTTTTTGGAATAACAATGCAAGAAAACTGGGAGTGAACGCTGAGAGCATTGAGGAGGAGAGGACACGGAGACAGAGATGAGTTCAAACTACAGAGGAGTATTTTGCCAAACTGTGTGTGTGTGTGTGTGTGTGTGTGTGTGTGTGGTGTGTGTGTGTGTGTGTGTGTGTGTGTGTGTGTGTGTGTGTGTGTGTGTGTGTGTGTGTGTGTGTGTGTGTTTGTGTGTGTGTGTGTGGTGTGTGTGTGTGTGTGTGTGTGTGTGTGTGTGTGTGTGTGTGTGTGTGTTGTGTGTGTGTGTGTGGTGTGGTGTGTGTGTGTGTGTGTGTGTGTGTGTGTGTGTGTGTGTGTGTGTTGTGTGTGTGTGTGTGTGTGTGTGTGTGTGTGTGTGTGTGTGTACTTTCAACAGCATGCTGCTCTGTGATTTGTTAATTGAAGGATCTGTCACAATGTGTGGTTGTGTCTGAGATGGTGGGGGAATCAAACCAGACACTAATTAAATGTTGGTTTTTCTTTAGGGCTGTATAGAATAATAAATTACAAAGAAAAACACAAGTGTAAGAGAAAACATTGGAAATTAGCTGAGGTTAAGGAGGTCATATGTACAAAAACACGACGAGAACAATATTCATAGGTCCCGCATGCTTAGAGCGTAAGTATACGCAATATATAACATTGTTCATTTTTAGGCATTTCAATAGGGAAAATGTTACATAATACATTTCTTTGTTTTGTTCACAGGGTTGTGCACTTTCAAAAACTCTTTTTTGGGCTAAAGCCACTGCAATACTGTCCCCCCAAAATGGACACAGTGTGTATTTTCACACTTGTTCAGAAATGTCTCTACGTTGTCGCTGCTCAGACATGAATATATGGATTTAAAGGATGACTCCTCCATCAAGTGAATACAAGGTCTGTTCAGGGGGAGAATCAGCTGCTGAGTCAAAGCAACAATATCACTTGGGATGAAATACTTTGCATTACATAAACACTGCATTTAAATGATTTAAAGCACACATTTCTCCCAAGTAATGCTACAATGTCATGTGACATGATTAGTGAATGATGTGCTCTGACTGTATTTCTAAACACCAGAGCAGTGAGGAAGAAGAAAGACAACAGTGAATGTGTGGGATTCAATTTGTTTTATATTTATTCTATATTTATAAAGAATGTTACTTTCTTTGTATTTGAAAAGTTTTCTTTTTCATGTTTTGTTTTTGGAAAGGTGTACATTCATATGGCTGATACAGTACTAACTCCTGTGTTCAAACTTCACTTCAAAAAAGACACACATATTTCAGCCTAATTGAAATCATTTCCCACTATGAATGATTTGACTCAGTTTATTCAAATGCTGACATAGCTTCTCACTTCCTGTAACTAGAACCAGGAAGTTGGTAATAATCACATTTGCATTTGACCCACTTGAAAGCCAAAATAGTTGTGTTTTCAGTATTAACTATTTTCGTATGTGCTAGCATATAATCATTATTTTATTTTAGAACTGAGATGAACAAACCCCCAACTCGATGCCATTATGCAGGTTTATTCTCTATGCACCGACGTGGCTCAGTTTTGAGACGATGTTCTGTTTGAAAGTGTTCTCATCATGGAGCACAGTGAGATGAGTCCCAGGAAATAAGGACTTTTTGGAATTTCAATAATTCATTAATGTGATCGACCCCATAAGCCCTTTAAAGGGTTAGTTGTGATGTTTGGAAGAGGCGTTGTGAGAGGTAATTATCTGTCAGTGTATTACTCACACGTTCATGACCCAACGTATTTAAAACAGCCACAGGAAAGTCTCAACCTTAAAATAATCTATCAGTTTAAAATGTTGTTATCTGCGCTGTCTTGAGCCACTTGCTGTAGTTACAGCTCACCAAAGTCACACAATAACACCAACGAGCCAATCAGTTTATCAGCAACTGCAAAAAAACTGTTTTTGTCAAAGAAGTCTGGAATCTTTAAAGAGAGCAGAGGTATCTCAACAACTATTGGAAGTATTACATTGAAATATGGTTCTGGTATTTATCTTCAGATGAATTATAATAACGTTGATCCCGTGATCTTTCATGAGAGCGTGCTGCTGTAAACACTGAACCTGCTGCAGCTCAGCAGCCTCTAGCCTGATGCAGACCAAGCTCGGACTCGATTTCAGCCTGACTGAATCTGTGACGAGACAAAAGTATTCAACTCTGTGGCCTTCTTTAGGTAGACCTTTAGCCTATTTCTTCAGGTAGATTTGTTTATTGAAATGATTAGGGTGTATACCGAGTAGCAGTTTAGTTTACAAATGTCAATGCCCATATCCAAAGATGTAAAAAGGTAAGGTATGTGTTTCCTGAGTTAATGATTCCTAAAACAAGAAAGAACAGAACAATGAAAGAAAACACGACTCACAGTTTGGTTTCCCATCAGTCAATATATGGAAACATATTTATGTACACACCCAACTCACAGTAGAGAGCACATGAGGAATAATATTATAGACACATTAAACAGGCCCTATACATTCTATAGCAGTCAAAGATAAGCCAGTTGGGAATTCTAATTCATCATCACACATCTTGTTTCACCTCAGACCAGGTGGAAGGGATAGTTTGAAGAGGGGTTTTATAGTTTTTTTCGTACCGCAATAACAACAAAGGTTTAGTGGAACTCATTGCATTTGACCCCCCCAAAGTACCTGGTTGGGTGATGGTACTTCCTGAAAGTGAAGGAACATCAGGGTGGGGTTTGCAGTTCTGTACCTTCGTTTCACATGAAGGCTAAACCCCAATATTGAAAAACCTGCCATATTTTGAGCCAGGCTAAAAGCTGTTAATAGGTCACTTCATTAAGTTATAAAATGTTTTCAGATGAGAAAGTATCCATGCAATGTCTTTCTGTGTAGCAAAACAACCAGACTCCATTGACAAAAACACTCATTTGAAATTGCTGAGCACAGAAGCTGCTGGCTCACACTGCCTCAAAGGGTTGGCTTATTTGTGTTATCAAGACATTGGTACGTTTGGGTTCCCCAGCATCAGCTTCATGTCGCCATGGCTTCGCTGCAGTGCTGGTACTCCTGTCTGTTTTTCTAACATGGGGCTTTCCAACTACAATCTAGTGTAGATCATTCTCTCACTAGTCCCTCATACAACCCAACTTCATCACACCTGAACATCCCTTTAAAAGAGTTGAAAGTGTTTTTGTCCTGTGAGGTGGGCTCTTATGGTTGCTGTGTTTTTCTCATGGGGATAACCTGTACCCCCCCCCCCCCCCCCCCCCCCCCCCCCCCCCCCCTTATCAGCCCCACAGGTTTTTAAGGTTGAATAATTTATTTCCATGGCAAAATAAAGCTGTAAACAACTGTAGAGCTGTTTTTTTCACTTAAAAAAAGAGACTTTATCTCCAGTAACTAAAATGTGGTTCTCTGCAAAAACATGCACATAATATAGGTGATATTGAGGGTTTGGCCTTTTTTGCTTGAGGCTGTAACAGCAGCAGCTTGTTATAAACTGTATTGACTTGTGTGTTGTTAAATAATGGATTCCTCTGTGGCAGGGCTTTGAGTGGACTTCCAGTCTGCTGTGAAATCTTATTTTAATTTAAGGACATGACTAAGTTACAACGTTACTGCGTAAGTAAATAACTACCTCACGTTTTATGTCACAAACGTTACATGATAATATGTCCCGACTCCCTTCTTATTTTAACCCAAACTGCAAGCAGCTTGTTCTTCTAATAACTTTATTAACCATTTCTCTAGGTTTTCCCTTGGAGAAGACATCCGGTCACATCCATAGACTGTGTATATAAAGGTAATAACATGACCCATCTAATCGACAGTACACAGCCCTCACATTATTTGGGTCTCATCGGTCAGTGTATTGGAGTCCAGAAACACATGTGAATGCAAAAAATAAATGACTGTTTCTTTAAGAAGAGGCTGGTTCACTTTCTTCAGTCCGGCCGGTTGGTCGTTATATATAGCTTTTATATTTATCGTGGAATACTAAATGCCTAAAATAAAACATTATTTACTTAAATCATATTCGAAATATTGTTTTCTAATAGGGTCGACGTAAAAACGTGTGAATGCAAAGAATTTCCTCGTCACTGGAACGTTTATTTCTCTTACATTTACCCCCCATAAAGCAGCAGTGGTATCTTCCGCTGCCCCGGAAACGCCGGCGACAGCAGGATAGACCCCGGTGTAGCAAAGCAGGTGGAACTGATTTGTCAGCCAAAGAGTAAGAAATAGGTAAGTGGTTGGAAGTTTTTAAATGACTTCCTCTATGTCGATTAGTAAGAGCAATAATGATGTACTTCGTTATGAATGGTAGATTTCATGAGCCTTTGACGCCTGGGTGTTAAAAAATGTGCTAACGTTAGCAGTGTAGCGCCGCTAGCTTACAGACAAAAGAAGTGCCCCCCCCCAGCGCAAAGTGAGCCATTTAACAGAACGAACATCACAATGTGTGTGAGGCTGTCCGCCAGGTTCCTCTGGTGCTGAACCATATCGAGGTCTGCTCTGGATGTGAAACATTAGTCATCCTAACCTCGGTAGCCATGTTAAGCTAGCATCAACGGAAGAGTCCCACAGCCGTTTACTTTGAGTTTTAAATCAGTTACACCACAACATTAGAATAATACAGATCAACAGGAATGATTCAAACCAAACAGATACAGTTTAAGATATTACATAGCAAATTACTGAATAGCCTAAGAACTCGTAAAATGTACAGTTGCATTAAACAGGTCCGTGGTCAACAATTACATTTAAAATAACTTCAGACACCATTACATTTTGTTATAATAGCTCACATACTAACTCAATTTCTTCTTTGTAAACTTTAAAGTGAGATTTTATTTTAATGTACTACTTAATACTTACTCGTATTATTATAGTCAATAAATAAGCCATTGAACCTAAAAGTCTGAATTGATTAATTCAAATTAAATAATTATTATCACCAACATGTTGCAAGAAGTACTATTATGCTAAAGATCTACAACAAAAGTGTGATATTATTACAGAATATTATATGATTTTGTTTTATCACTAATGAACACATGTCAGAGCACTTTAATACTGTAGTTTCTCAATGTGTACTTTGTATACTACTGGCTTTAGTAGCTTTTCCTTTTAAAATACATCATCATTTATTAGGTAATATGAATAATCTGAAGTAAAAAGTGAAATATTTCCTGCGGAGATGAAGTAGAAGTATATAATTGCACGAAACGGAAATACAAGTACTTCAATATTGACTAAATACTTGAAAAAAGGTACTCGAGTATCGTCCTCCACTGGATACAATAATTGTATTCAATAAGCAAAATATGTGTGAACATAAAATGGAATTTTAAAAAAACACTAAAACATGCCAGTGGTCCACTTAAACACAAATGACAGGGATGCTGTTTTCAGCCTCTGGAATATTGAGATTTCTTCCATTTTTAAATCATATTAAAGTGATCTTTGGGTTCAGAACTGACCTAACAAGATATCAAAAGAAATCACATTGGGCTTTGACATTCTTACCTTTTTTTTTATATGCCATAATCTAGAGACCAATTTTTGACACCATCTTTTCATTTTGACACTGGTTTTGCTCTGTAGGCAAATCACCATGTTTTACATTGTGCTAATGAGACTCTTTCAAAAACCTGTGACCACATTTTCAGCTAGGTTGGAACAAAAATAAATTGAAAAATGTATTTTATTTTTGTTATCATCAAATTCATCATTCTATGAGTACTAATAACAGCTGCGATGTCACTATTCAGGTGTCCACAGGTGTCAACTTGGAGCATCCATCAGTGCCGTCTGACAGGCATCAGCTCAGCATCAGTTACGCTGGACAAGCTCGTAAGTAGTCCTGTTTATTTTTAAACATATATATATATATATTTATTTATTTTTAGTTCATTGCTCAGCCTCTGTGCTGGTACATTCTGGTTACCCCTGACTGGATAACATATTTCACAGCGTGTTGCTTTTTACCTGAGATTGTGATTTATTTTATTCTAGAATCTCTTAGATTTGAATGGCCAAGGCAGCCAGAAGTACACAGGTATGACCTTCATCCTCCACATTTCATCATATCTTTAGATGGATGATTATAAATTGTCATAACCACTTGTGTAGGGCAGATGTTTATCTCATAACCCCCTGACAAGATGTTTTTTTCTTGTTTTTAGCAAAGCCTATCAAAGGTTCAGTGATGCCTGTGAAGAAAAAGAGGAAGCTCCCTGATGCAGATGATCATGAGCGCAAATGTAAAATTACGAGGTAAATGGACTCAATAGACGCTTTCACACCAAGTACTTTTCCCAGGAATAGTTCCCGGAACTTAGTTCCCCGGAAATCTTTAGTTCCGGAACTATCTAGTAAATCGCGTTCACACCGGAATAAGTCCCTGAGGGTGGATTAGGCAAATGAAGCCGCTGACGTCACTTCTTCTGGCTTTGGGTTTACTGGAAGGCAGCAAACCACTTCACGGTGTATACTGCCACCCGAAGTCCCCGGCCTGAAGTCCCCGGAGTTGGGGACTGGCTTCAGTAGAAGCTGCTGGGACTCCCAGCAGCTTCTACTGAAGCCTTCAGAGTAAATCGCCAGAACGCCGACACCACCTCATCTCCACCGCTCCCATGTTTTATTTTGTGTTGCCATAAGTTAGTCTCTCTCTCAGTTGGTGCGCTGGGCTAATGCTAATGCTAATAATGCTAATGCCAGCAAATAAAATGGCGGCTTCACAAAACTTTTCTGAGTTTTACGGGGCGTGGTTTGCAATTCGCCCAGCCAATCAGAAATTGGAACCTTTTTCTCCCAGGAAAGTCCCTGCTCTCTAGCAGGGACTGAAAAGGGGGGAAAAGGTTCCCGAAAAAAAGTTATAGTTCCAGATCTTTTTGGTGTGAACGCAAAATCCCAGGAACTCAGAACTATTCCTGGGAAAAGTACTCGGTGTGAAAGCGCCTAATGTATCACATGAAATCCCCCCCACTCTTTTTGTCACTTGCATCTTATTCTAGGGCTGCAATGAAATTAATTTAGTTGATTATTCTTAATTTTTGTTTGTACGATTAAACGTTCAGTCCAAGGTGATGAACACTATTTTTTTGTTGTTGAGCCTTTACAGTACCAATTATAAAGAAAACTTATAAATCCTCTGATTTTTGAGGCTGGAATATATATCTTTACATTTTTGCATGAAGCATAGTGAGCAGCCGCTGACTCAGAGGCTCTGCGGGGGGGGGGGGGGCTGAGCTGAACAGGACGTGGCTGGGTTATCTTTCATCTGGCAGGGCACATACTGAACCCCTCACCTTCTCACTTTCCTCGAGAGTTTGTGTGTGTGTGTGTGTGTGTGTGTGTGTCAGAGTTCCCGTTAGAATACTTATTTGCCGGTCAACATGTCCGTTAAAGTTGAAATCTTCCGGACAAAAGTAGAAAAGTGCCGGTCAAAGGTCTTCTTTGTTATTTATTGAGCTTTAAAACAAATTGATATGATTTGATATTAAACAAACTAATTCTAGTAGATTAACTACATTATTCAAAAGTGTACAGTAACTTATAATAAACGGAGCGCTCTCTCCCTCTCCTGACAGCCCGTCAGTATCATGCAGCTCGCGGATCCAGTAATGAGTGACCCGACAGTAAAACTAAACATATCTATAACTAGTTTAGGTAGTTTGAGAGGTAATTAAAATAGCTACGTGATATTCTAACCTGAAGTGTGTGTTTTGTTCCGCTCACCGCTGCAGGTGATCATGCAGAGATGCGTGTCGACTCGTCAGCAGCAGCTGATCTCTCCCGTCAGATTAGACTTTACTCGCGTTTATGTCCATATCGATCAGATCTACATACTCTTCTTGTCTGTCACATACTCTTCTTGTCTGTCACATACTCTTCTTGTCTGTCACATACTATTCTTGTCTGTCACATACTCTTCTTGTCTGTCACATACTCTTCTTGTCTGTCACATACTTTGTCTGTCACATACTCTTCTTGTCTGTCACATACTATTCTTGTCTGTCACATACTCTTCTTGTCTGTCACATACTCTTCTTGTCTGTCACATACTATTCTTGTCTGTCACATACTCTTTTGTCTGTCACATACTCTTCTTGTCTGTCACATACTCTTCTTGTCTGTCACATACTATTCTTGTCTGTCACATACTCTTTTGTCTGTCACATACTCTTCTTGTCTGTCACATACTCTTCTTGTCTGTCACATACTCTGTCATATGTCTGTCACATACTCTTTTGTCTGTCACATACTCTTCTGTCTGTCACATACTATTCTTGTCTGTCACATACTCTTCTTGTCTGTCACATACTCTTCTTGTCTGTCACATACTCTTCTTGTCTGTCACATACTCTTCTTGTCTGTCACATACTCTTCTTCTTGTCACATACTCTTCTTGTCTGTCACATACTCTTCTTGTCTGTCACATACTCTTCTTGTCTGTCACATACTCTTCTTGTCTGTCACATACTCTTCTTGTCTGTCACATACTCTTCTTGTCTGTCACATACTCTTCTTGTCTGTCACATACTCTTCTTGTCTGTCACATACTCTTCTTGTCTCACATAAGTGGTGCAACTGATGCGGTATTGTGCTAACTAAGGGGAAATTATTTTGACCGGCGAGATTTAGATTTGCCGGTCTTCAGCATATTTTACCGGTCAAAGTCCGGTAATTACCGGCTAACGGGAACTCTGGTGTGTGTGTTGATGGAATGTGAGTGGTGAGCCACTAATAGCCCCCCCATCACTGCCTCAGCATAGAAAACACAGCATGTATGCAGAGATGAGGATGTGTTTACTCCTCAAACCTCTTTGTACGGTAACGTGTTGCCTTCCACAGACAAAGAAACATGGCGGGTATAACGCACTTCAAAGCATGTTTATCTCTGAGGAAAAAGTGTATTAATTGAACACCTACGGGGTGTTTGTGTGTTGTAGTTTCACCAGGCCTCAGATCCGGGGGGCGCGGCCGGTCAGCGGGGACAGGCTGTTCTCCAATAAGAAGTGTCTGGCCTGGTTCCACGCGTACGCCGGCGCCGACAAGGTGGTGGGCCCGGAGGCCATGGAGAGGTTCTGTGAAGACATCGGAGTGGAACCAGAGAATGTGAGTCCTCCGGCTGCTTAGTCCTCAACTGGGCCCAATGTAGCATGCTCAGTTAACCCAGGACTAAACTTAGTCCTTCCTCATTGAGAGCTGAGTGGAAGCATTCAGATCCTTTACTAAAGTAAAAGTACTAATAGACTGAAAATACTCCACTGCAGGTAATGAAACCCCTAAGGTGCTAGCTAACCTCGTACCATTCTGCTCTTATGAATGATATCATTAGATTGTTGTTAGCTGTGTAGAAGCACGATTTAACTTTTGGATTCATTTAGGGCGGAGCTCATTTTTATTTTTCTTGTATAGGAATGCAGCACCTGTTTTTTTTTTTTTCCGTTTATGGATTGATCTATTCATTTAGATTTTCTTTTTTTGTATATGTGAAAAATACTCTGACTGGAATCTGTTGCATTTTGGTTATACTCTTTAAGGTCAAAATGTAGTTGAATAATATTTTTAGTTTGCCATGTATTGGCAAACAACCTATTAACAAATGATGTGAATATAATAATTTGAAACTAGTTTTGTTTTTTTAATTCTACTGCATTATGAGAGTTGTGTTGTTTTTACAACCTCGGGTAACTCTGTGTTGGACGGTCCAGTGTTGATGGAGTGGTTCTCTCTTGCAGATTATCATGTTAGTTTTAGCCTGGCATCTAGAAGCATCAAGTATGGGCTTCTTCACAAAAGAGGAGTGGCTCAGGGGAATGACGTTATTACAGTGAGTGACTTTTTCTATTTTAACTTCCACTTAATATTTAATAAACAATCTAAGGCCCTGGCTTGGAAATTGTAGTTTTTACTGTTTTCCACCAGATTGCGCCAATTGTCATGCTAAGGGACAAGCACATGTTCATTTCCGGTTTCATGCAAAAAAAAAAGAAAACGTGTCAAATTACGTTTTGTTGCTAATCATGACATTTCCCAGACTAAAAATAAATAAAAAAATACCCCCTGTATTTACTAAACATTAAACTCTGTTAAGATGTACCTCTGCAGTGGTAAATCTACCTAATTTTGTGACATGGCCTTCCTCTAAGGACATCATTGCACATTTTTAAAGTGGCACAGGGGTTAAAATGTATGTTACAAAAGAGATCATTTTCATTATTTTGTATCAATTTTATCTACATAATGCTCTCTTAGGTTTGTTGTTGACCTGTTGTGTGTGTGTGTGTCAGGTGTGACTGCACAGAGAGGTTACAGAACAAACTGGACTACCTGCGCAGCGAGCTCAACGACTCTGCAGTCTTCAAAAACGTCTACAGATACGCCTTTGACTTCGCCAGAGTGAGTTTGGGTTTATTTCTTTGTTTTCTATTTTTATTTTTTAAAGAAAGAAAAAAAAGTGTCTATAAGCTAAAATGTCCCTAACTGTTTACCACTCAGCCTTAGTGTGCCCCCGTACTACACATAAGAGCACACCCTGAATATAACGCACTTATAATGCAAGGTGAACTCCGTTGATCATTAACTTTACAAAAATGAAAGAATAAAAGGTCACTTATATAATACATGTTTCTAAGGCCACAAAAGTGTTATGAATATTGGATACTTACATTAAGTGTGTGTGTGTAATATAAATGTCTCTTGTCTGTGGTGGTGTTGTTCAGGATAAGGACCAGAGGAGTTTAGACATGGACACGGCTAAGTCCATGCTGTCGTTGATACTGGCGACCACGTGGCCTCTCTTCCCCGTCTTCAGCCAGTTCCTGGAGGTAAATAGCCGCGTTCACACCGGAGTACCTTTCACCGTACTTTTCCCCTTTAGTTCCGTTAGTACCCCTTATGTCGCGTTCACACCAAAAAGAGTACTTAGTGCCGAGAACTTTTACCCCCATTTTTAGTGCCTGCTGAGAGATGATACTTTCCTGGGGGGAATAAAGTGCCCCAGTTCTGATTGGTTGGGCCAATTGCAAACCACGCCCCGTAAAACTCTGAAAAGTGTTTTGAAGCCGCCATTGTATTTGCTGGAATTAGCATTATTAGCATTAGCATTCGCCCAGCGCACAAACGCAGAGAAACTAACTTACACAAAAGAAAACATGGGAGCGGTGGAGATGAGGAGGTGTCGGCGCTCTGGCGATTTACTCGGAAGGCTTCAGTAGAAGCTGCTGGGAGTCCCAGCAGCTTCTACTGAAGCCAGTCCCCAACTCCGGGGACTTCCGGCCGGGGACACAGGGTGGCAGTATACGCCGTGAAGTTGTTTGCTGCCTGCCAGTAAACCCAAAGCAGAAGAAGACGAAGTGACGTCAGCAGCTCATTTGCGTAATCTTCCCTCAGGGAAAAGTACTCCGGTGTGAACGCGATCTGTACTAAATGCCCTGGGGTAATCAGTGCCGGCACTAAGTACGGCAAAGTACTTGGTGTGTTTCCTGTTTGCTTGCTTCATGGAAGCAGGTCTTTACATAATGTCCTTTTTTATGTGTTCAAATCCTCTATTGACATTTAATAATGATGCTTTTAAAATAATACAAAATTATATTAATCTTCATAATATATATCGTAAACGTGCCACAATTAGTCGACTAATCGCCTGAATTTACCACTATTAGTCGACAAATCTTTAGTGGAGGGCAGCCCTAGTAAACACATGCCGTGATCTTTTGAATAGGCTTTTTGACTTTTCATGCTCTGGAGCTGGAAACGTTTTGGTTATTAAATGTTTGGATTTTGATTCTACAAGTCTGAAGAAATCCTTTGACGCCACCCCCGAGAGACATTTTCCAATCATCTTTCCACAGCAGTCCAAGTACAAGGGGATGAATAAGGACCAGTGGTATAACGTCTTGGAGTTCAGCCGGACCATCAACACAGACCTCAGTAACTACGATGAAGACGGAGCTTGTGAGTGTTCGAGTTCTAACTGTGATTTCACCGCCCCCCCCACTCTGAGGCTTTAGGAGGAATACAGTCACTCCTCCCGACAGGATGGGGGGGTGCTCATGGCCCCTAATACGTGATGTGTTAGGGGCCATGAGTTCTTATTTTTATGATAATTGTCTTTAATAACATTACTTGAACAGAAATAAACACTAAACATTATAATACAGACACAAAATGTGGTATTTTCATTTCAAACTGTCATGGCTCCTTAAGAAGAAAAATAAAATGACTCAATCTTTAGACACCAACGTTTGGCATGCAAGGAGAGACACTGTTAGAACATAGAATAGTTTCTCCTTTCTATCATTATGAAACCATGATGGTGCGTTGGCTCTATTCTTCTTGCTGTTCTCTGGGGCAGCAGAGAGGAATGCGTGGTCCCATTCTGCTGCAGTTCTAGGACACTGTGATGCAACATGCTAATATGATAGCTTCCTGTATTTAGCCTCTCTGCTCCTCTCCATTCCCTCTAAAGGTCAGCCCGCTGCACAGTTTCAGGACTTCACAGTAATCGGTATTCCATCGATGAAACGCACTTTGGCTCTGAACCCCAATCACGTTATTCTCACTGTGGCATTGTTTTTCACGGCAAAATAAGTCTATAGAAACAAGTGTGTGTTAATTGACATTAATATTTTATTTTTAAAAATGGGGGAGGGGGAATAATTCAATATACATTTTTGAAATGTATAGATATTGTAAAATAACGGGGATATGATATACATATTATTCCGTTATTTTGGAAACCTTTTTAACCAACATATGCTCTTCAAACATGCCGACTGGTTTTCAGGGAGGGTTAGAAAAATCTTAGCGTTTTCCAGTCAGAGGGTCAGCAGGTCGATCCCAGCCCCTACAGTCTACATGATGAAGTGTCCATGGGCAAAATACTGAACCCCAAATGGCTCCAGGAGGCATGTCTGCAGTATAGACGGTATTGATGGATAAAAGCGTCACCTTAATAACATCTGTCCAAATGTCAAACCTGATAATGCAAGTATGCCTTGTCTGGAAAGGTTCCCATTCAACATCCTCCTAAAGCAGGGGCCGTGTTAATATCTGTTTCTCTGCAGGGCCGGTGCTGCTCGACGAGTTTGTGGAATGGAAGAAATCCTGGTCAGCATCGTAGCAGACAACTCGACACCGAAAGAAGACGGAGAGAAACAAAAACCACATTGTTAAAGAAAAAGATCAGACACACACACACACGGACACACGGACTACAGCATCCTCCCTGTATGGGGCAGCCCTTTCTCTCACTGAGTCGACTTTTATAGTGTTCATTTGGAGAAAAGAAAATGTTCTTAAAATAAGAAGAGAGATTTGGAATTTATGTTTTCTTGTTAACATTTTATTTTCCATTTTGTGTCTTGTTTATAGATGTTTTCACAGTAATAAAAAGGAATTGGAAGTATGACGAGCTGCTTGTGGATAATTGATGAAACTTGTTTTATTCACGTCTCTTTAAGTACTGACTGAAAGTAACTAAAGCCAATACATACATGTACACTATTTACCTTTGAGTTGTAGTGGAGTAGAAGTACAAAGTAGCATAACATTTAGTTATGTAGACTACAAGTCTCAACATTGTACTTAAAGGTGCCCAATTTACTCTTTTTCATCAGTATATTATAGGTCTCAGATATATACAGAACATGTCTCTGGAGTGTTTGGCTCCAAATACCAAACGGATCATTGCAACATTACCCATAATCCCCTCTGTTTCAGCCCTGTTTCCAAAGTACTGATTCTCTGTCTGTTACTGTAGATGAAAGTAATGAGCCCCTCCCCACGCCCCTCTGAGAGACATTTGGTTACAAAGAACACGGGAGGAGATTCAGGTGATAAGGGGGGGGGGGGGGTTACCTTGGTTGCTGATTGGCTAATGGTTACACAAGCCCGAGAAACATTGTGACATCCCAAAGTGCTCAAAATCTGATCAGCTGATTTTAATGGATCAATGGCATCACATTTGAAGAAGTGTGCAGTATGACTTTTATGTCTTGAACCTTGAGGTTTGGCCGCTTGTTTTGTTTCAGGTTTGCAACCCCATGGTCGTTTGTTTTTTTTAATATCATTTTAAAAGTATTTCTCCAGTAACAGAAAATCGATTCTAAGGGATCGGGGCACAGAGCTTTGCAGTCGGGTGCAGAGCAGGTATTCATCATCAACAGGTGGATACTTCACACACAGCTGTTTCTTGGTTGGTTGTGCTTTGAAGGCTCAGGGGCCACTGAGGTCAAATGGCATCATATTAACTTGGAGAGTGCGTACTACAGCAAGGGTGGTCTTTCCACCAGGGGAAGCTGAACATATTGCACGAATCTGCACAAAGGGAAAGTTTGTCCTAGGCACACAGACACACTTTTAAGAAGCTCATTTCCCTAAGATGTATGTGAGTTACAACATGAACAACACACTTTCATTTCAAATGACTTTACAGTTATATCTCCATGTGGAAGTGCAGCCTCTCCCCCTCCCCCCCCCCCCCGGTTCTCTGGTGCCCAGCGGCTCTGCCGAGGCGGTGGCCATGATGGTGTTGAGACGTGTCAGAGAGAGGGAGCGCTGCTTGAGCCTGGGGGGGGGGGCCTGGCTCCTCTGGGGACGGCTGTGGAAGGTGAGCGAACCTCTGGCCGTCCTCGTCATACTGGTACAGACGGAGGACACGTCTGGGGCGGCCTGCAGGGGGCGGAGTCTCTGCTCCTCCTCCTACTCTGTTACTTCCTGTCTCATCGTTATTGCTGTCTGTATCTTCCTCCTCCCCATCTCTCCTCCTCTCCTCCTCCTCCTCCTCACTTCCTCTCCCCTCCTCTCCATCCTCATTGCTGCTATTTTCCTCCCTATCTGCCTCCTCCACCTCTTCCTCCTTTCTCACTTCTGTCTTTCCCTCCCTTCCTTCTCTACTTTCTTTCTCCTCTCCATCTTTACTAGCCGTGTCTTCATCTGTTTGGGTTTGACTCTCTCCGTCCTCGCCTCCATCCTCGCCTCCATCCTCGCCTCCATACAAATGATGACACTGCTCTTCCTTTGCCTCCCCATCACACTCTTCATTATTTCCCTTCAAACCTTTTCCTTCCTCCTCCTCCTCCTCCTCCTCTTCCTCCTCCTCCTCCCTCATGTTGTCACATCCTTCCAGATAGGCCGTGGTTTCCTGCTCCTGTCGTTTTCCCCGGAAGCTTCTCTGAGGTTTGGTGGGGGGGGTAATGGTGGTCTCCATGGTTGAACAATGAGCAGAGTCAGCGTCGCTGTCCCACGCCTGGTTGTCGTACATGGGCGATAGTGTTGCCATGGTGACCTCAGAGTCAGTTGTGTGTTGTCGTTGTGATTGAAAACTCGTGGAGAGGTTCCCTAAACACCTGGAGAGGACATGATGCACATTACACATCATCTTTTCAGAAATGAAGCCGTTTGTTTCACTCACTTTCACTGTAGATTCTTTTCTTTATTACAAACTGCCTTATTTGCATAGTTACACATCACTTTTTAGAAACCTCAGAAATACAAAATATCTATCAGCGATCCATTTGGGAAGTTACCTGGTGATGTTTATTATTTAACGTTTTTGATTGAGGAGAGGAGAGGGAGGCCCTGAGAGGAGAGGGAGGCCCTGAGAGGAGAGGGAGGCCCTGAGAGGAGAGGGAGGAGCAACATCTGATCTCAGGTTTCTCTGTCCTGTGTTTATGACTTAGGAACAATAAGGGAAGACATTCTTCAAACTTTGTTCATACATCCACCTGGACTCAATAATTGGCTCATACAATTTTGGAGGTCAAAGGTCAAGATCAAAGTGTCTTGAGAAAAAATTATCCGGGCAAAACCTTTATTTAAAATTCTGTGGATGAAAGAATAATGACCAAAAGTGTTATGAATCTGATCCCAGTGTAAACAAAGGCCTGGACTGACCTGAGGACAGGGGTCATGCTCAGAGCTCCAGCGCTGAAGCCCACCACGAATGTCAGCAGAACTGAAGCCGCCACAGCTCCTGCAAAGTGAGCGTCTGAAACGCCTGCCTGCATCTCTTCCAAGGACCCGACGTCCCTCCTGAACCTGAACTCATCACGCTCCTCACCTCCGCTGTGTTCCTGCTCCTCTTCATCACTGCGCTGACCCACACTCAGCTCGTAGGGCCACAGTGCAGTTCCCTCTGTGTGCTGCAGGAGGCAGTAGTACAGGCCGCGGTGCAAGAGGCTGGGGTTGGGGACCTTCAGGCTTCCATCATGAAGCATGAAGACGGGGTCCATGTTACTGTGGAAACCAGGGGTCTGAAGGTTTCCAAAAGGGGTGTGCCAGTACTGAACCACACCTGCAGAAAGGATGAGCAGAAGCAGGACTGAGTCCTCAAACACAGAAGGAGAAGGAATGACTTTTGCACTTCCAGTTTCCTTGTCTAAAAGTCCATCGTTTTTATTAAGATTATTGGAAAAAGGTCTGTGGGAAACAGTTTAAGATATTTTCAATACCTTAGTAAATACACAACTCATCACTTTTAAAGCTTTTAAGTGTCTTAAAGAAGGAGATTTCTAATAAAAGTTCAATGTGACTTCAGGGGTTTCCACGCCTAACGCTGGTGCAAAAGAACAGATGCCTTTTCTGATAAAAAGTCACTTCTCCACCTTTCTCTGATAAATACCAAATCACCTGGTACCTGAAACTGCCTTTAAACACTCAAATCAACTAAAACAAGGACACTGACATAATGCTGAAAAATATTTATTTTTAAACAATAAATGTTTAACAATAAGAAGCTACAACCCATGGAGCACAGGTCACATGGTGCAGCGGGGTGGATGATGCTGATGATACTCTCGTGCTGAGAAGCCTGTGTCCATCCTCTTTACTGACCTGCTTTCTTTCCGTCTCCACAGTTCAGAGTCAGCTCTGCCTCTGGATGACCTTTGACCCTGCAGGTTGGTGCGACGCTCACAGAGCCGCGGCCATCAGCGGCTCACAGAAAGGCAGTGAAAGTGAACCACCTGGTAAACATTCTGAACATACAGGAAACAATTCAGGTGTGTTTATGGTTCTCAGTGAATTACTCTTGCAGCATGAAAACTCTGATCCAGCTAGGAGCTCTGTTCAAAGCAACTCCAGAGAGAGTTCCAGACACACAGAGTGACGGTGCAACATTCATCACATGGACACAAACAGGACTTCGCCCTCTAGTGGTTGGATCTTAAATGACTGTACACAGTGTGCTAACATGTTTCACATTATAACTTTATAGGGAAGAAATTAGGTAAATAAGGTAAAAAATAATAATATATAAATACTTAAAGATATCACAATGAAATTAAATGTATTTTGTATTACATTTTGTATGTAAATATGCAAATTAGAAATGTTCTCAATACAACAATTTCACTGCATTTGTGTAACAGAAATCTGAACATTTCATAAAGACAGGTTAAAGATTCTTGTTTCATTGTTGTTGTCATTAGAGTCAACAGATGAAACAAAAGGACGTATATTTGTATCACTACATACCTACACTGACAACAGATATAAAAGGCTCAAAATTAGGCATTAACAGAAAGGACTGAACAACCTTTGGTGTATGTTAGGGCTACTGAAGTGGAGATTTAGGCCTCAGAACAAAACAAAATGAATGGCAATTTGCAAGAAAGTAAAGGTAAAGGTGAAAATCTTAAGCTAATTGATATCACTATGTCACTTCTCCAATTGATTACATACAAAAAAACTATATTTTCTCAGAGTTGTATAATGCAAAACTTCTGGAGAATTTAGGGCAAATCCTGGACACACAAAGTGTTTACACTGTTCCACATATCTAAAGTATAGTCACTATAGAAGTGCAAAGATAAAAGATCCTTTTGAAAGGGGACATGTTGAAGAGGTCAAATAACCCAAACTCAAAATGTACCAGAGCATGAATAACAATGTTTTTGCTCTAGTGTCTCGCCTATGTTGCGATTTCCATTTGTTTAGCTCTCATGTAGTGGCCATAGGTAGTGGCCCAAAAAAGCCCAATAGGTTCACCTTTCAGTGTGATAGTGGGCTGGCTGACCATAACATGCTGTTAGAGCCAGTATTTTGATTTTATAAGAAAGGCCACCTAATTGTGACGTCTGTAGTCAACGCACTATAAAGGACTAGAATTCCCACGGCGCCTGCGCTAAAGCCACAGTGATGGGCAACCTGTTGAGAGACGCCGTCGAGGAACAGTTTTTAACCGCACACGTACACGTCACGTACACGTACATACAAATCGTAGTACCCTTTAAGTTATGAAGTTATATAAGCATTATCAAGAAAGAAAGAATACCTAAATTGTTTGTTATTTTATTTGAGTTTTGCCTATTTCTTTTGAATATTGTAAAGGCCTATTTTCTTTGTTGCATGTGCAAAAGTTTGTTATTTTATTTTGAGCAAACACATCGCAACATCAAACCATCGGAGGCCAAGCAACACTTCAAACTGTGAGTAATTCAAAGGAAAGAAACGAGTTAGAACTGTCTGTTTAAGGCGTCTAGTGGCTTGATGGAAAGACAAGGAAGGAAGCCACGACACATGCTGTACCTGTTTTAAGGGAATTCATCATTTAAGAAAAATATAAAATCAAAATCAAAAATGCACTTCTCTGAAGTACCAGACAAAATGTGAGGGATGTTCAACAAACAAAGAATATATATCATACAGAGTGCGATATTTACCTCTGACAGCTTGTGTTATTTCCTCTAAGCGTAGCGGTGTTTCCTTAGTGTGAACACATCGTCTGATGGAAGAGTCTCCTCTGCAGAGTGTAAAGTGCAGTCCTCACATGACAGGATGATGATGATGTTAAAGATTAATAGCATCTCAGAGGCAGAGGCAGAGTTTATAAAGTCAACGTTCTACTGTTCTACAGCAGGCCTCTGTTAGCTATAGCTAAGGTAGATTTAACATGATAATGTGCCCTCCAGTTTCCCTCTGTGTAAAGAACATTTGATAAGGTGTCCTTTAAGGTGCCCGTCCAGAGAAGAAGGCATGTTAAATCTCAGCCACTGTGATATTCCAGTGGAAAAGCATAATCATTTGCCCTCTAGGGTGCTGTTTCTGAAGAGAAAATGTGAGGAAGTGGCCTCAAAATGTCAGTGCAGAAAACATGACAAAGTGTCTTTTACATTTGAGAAGACATTAGAGGGCACTGGTTGCATTTCCAGTGGAGAAAACATTATAAACTGCCCTTTAGGGAACCCTACCAGTGGAGAAAACATGAAAATACACCTTTTGGGGGCCGCCTGTACTGTAAAGAAAACTTGAAGAAGTCCCTCGCAGGGCCAACTTGTGGCGCCCCTGGCCAACTTGTGGCGCCCCTGGCCAACTTGTGGCGCCCCTGGCCAACTTGTGGCGCCCCTGGCCAGCCTCGCAGCGGCGAAACTGTGGTGCGCTTTAGTAGGTGCGCCGCATTTGCGCTTCAGATGATGCTCCCTTCGCAAAATGAAGAACCCTCCGCAAGATGAGGCCCCCTCCGCAAGATGAGGCCCCACGCAGTCTGCGTGATCGGCCTGTAGGGAGGGGCGGCCCTGGTCCCTCGGGTGCCCTTCCGGTGGAGAAAGCACAGAAATCTGATTTAGTGCCATTATATAGGGCCATATAGGCTACCCTACATTTTATTTATTTATTTAATCGTTTATTTGGCAGGGACAATGCACAGCAATGAACACTGAAGTAAAAAGATATGATTCTACACTGTATTGAAGTAAACATGTATTATTTTGAATTGTATTTTAGTGAACATGTATTGTTTGAACGGTTTTAAGTAATCACATATATAGAAATGATATTCTCTCTTACAACTCACTGACCCAGAGATCCTGTTTCACACACACACCGCTCCTTTTCACCCCTACACACAGATGTTCTTTTTAAGGTCGTTAAGGACATCCATATATGTGCACAAAGGTTTAATTGTATGAGAAAGAATAATTTATGTGAAAAACTCCCATGGAAAAGTAAGGGAGTGAATACCGGGGCAGAGATAAAGATTGACTTTTGACCTTGTGAAACTTTGGAATCTCACGTTCTGGTCAGAACTATTGAACCCGACCAGAAGTGAATCCAGCCAGTAAGGACACCTGGGGGATGTGAGCAGCTCATACAGCTCCTCCTCACGGACTCTCTAATTCGCTTTGGAGTAAAAGGGGAAGGGAAAAGTCAACCCATCTCCGCCCCAAAATATGAGTATGAATACTGTTGTTTTTTAATGTAAAATGCTTCTGGTTTGTTGAAAGCTGGTGCTAGAAGACGGTAAACCGCATCACAAACCTGGAGGCCATACTTCTCGTTTTCTGAAAGCTGGTCTGTCTACCTGTAAAACCGCATCACAAGCCTGAAGTCCGGAGTACTCTGTATAACTTGTATATGTGTTTGGTTTCCTACCAGTAAACTCAGATAATTGTTATAACTTTTGATTCCGGTGTTTTCAATTCCTTTCTTTATTTAATAGAGATTTCAGCCTCATCCAACGAACGGCGCGTAGCAGAGGGGGTGGCTATCAGCCACCACAATAGGTGTTCTGCTCCAACAACACTTAAAACATTAAAATGTGTCAAGCGTAACAGTGCCAGATTTAGCTTTGAGCTAATTTCCATCCGCATTAAACATTAAACATTTAAGAAAATTACATTTTACAAACATAGCAAAAACAAAATACATGATATGCAAAAAGTGCAAAAGAGCAAGAGCAGCATACACAAGTATTTATGACATGGCAGTACAATGTAGCAGCTAGGACATATAAAGTGCAAGAGGAGATACAAGAGCTACCTAAAGTGCAAGAGGAGATACCCCTGTGTTAAAGTGCATCTAGCGGTGATTACACGTCTGTTTGTTTCTCAACCATTCCCTGAGTTGTCCTTTAAAACTATTGAGAGTGGGACAATCCCGTATCTCAGTAGGGAGGCTGTTCCACAAAGAGCTGCCTTTAACGGAGAGGACATTTTGTCCAGAAGTGGTCCGTCTGTGGTGGACTTCACAGTCTCCTCTGGTTTCTGACCTAGTGCAGCGTCCAGTGTGTTTTTTGTGGATGAATTCCCCTAAGGGAGGGGGGGGGGGGCAGTCCATGTAAACATTTATAAATAAAACACATACAAATGTAGCACCTTCCGCTCGGACTAGCCTGCATCCACAGTGATGACTCAGAGACCAGATCAGCCCCAGAGACTGTTTGGAGAGAGATTGGTGGATGGATTTTGATATCAATGCAAAAAACCTGGAATTGACCTCAACAATATTTTGTGCCACTGTCATTATAGGCTAGTTGTGGTGTTGACCTTGTGGACTCCGATCCACTTGAGTCAGAACAGATTATTTGAGTTCCATGCAGGGCCCGAGGTAGACAGTAGACTGCTTGTGTCGCTCTCTGTTTTCGGCCCTTCCACTTTTGCCTTTGTGCAGGACATGCATTGGTATTATTTGTGAATTTCTTTTGGCCGTGGTAAGTGTCTGTGATTCATGTTATTACCACGGACCCCACCAGAGGTCAGTGGTGCTAAACAACATTCTTGAGGCAAACGTTCCCATTTCTCTTGCTAAAAGCCGCTTTCACACCAAGTACTTTGCCGTACTTAGTGCCGGCACTTAGTGCCCCGGCACTTATTACCCCAGGGCACTAAGTACCAATCGCGTTCACAACGGAGTACTTTTCCCTGAGGGAGGATTAGGCAAATGAAGCCGCTGACGTCACTTCTTCTTCTTCTGCTTTGGGTTTACTGGCAGGCCACAAACCACTTCACAGCGTATACTGCCACCCGAAGTCCCCGGCCGGAAGTCCCCGGAGTTGGGGACTGGCTTCAGTAGAAGCTGCTGGGACTCCCAGCAGCTTCTACTGAAGCCTTCAGAGTAAATCGCCAGAACGCCGACACCTCCTCATCTCCACCGCTCCCATGTTTTATTTTGTGTTGCCATAAGTTAGTCTCTCTGCGTTTCTGCGCTGGGCTAATGCTAATGCTAATAATGCTAATGCGAGGATAATAAAATGGCGGCTTCACAAAACTTCTTTGGAGTTTTACGGGGTGTGGTTTGCAATTCGCCCAGCCAATAGAAATTGGTACTTATTTGGTACTTTTTTGGTACCACCTCTCTAGCAGGCACTGAAAATAGCCGCGTTCACACCGGAGTACTTTTCACCGTACTTTTCGCGTTTAGTTCCGTTAGTACCCCTTATGTCGCGTTCACACCAAAAAGAGTACTTAGTGCCAGGAACTTTTAGCCCCATTTTTATTGCCTGCTGGGAGATGGTACTTTCCTGGGGGAAAAAAGTGCCCCAGTTCTGATTGGCTGGGCGAATTGCAAACCACGCCCCGTACAACTCTGAAATGTTTTGTAGAGCCGCCATTTTATTATCCTCGCATTAGCATTATTAGCATTAGCATTAGCCCAGCACCAGTGGCGGCCGGTGGTCTTTTTTTTTGGTGGGGCTCTTGACGTACCGTAAGTGACCTACCCGGGGGGTCCGAGAAATGACCCCTTAAATGATGACTTCTGGTGATGTTAGAGGGGGGGGGAAAGGAGAAATCGAGGCTTAAAAATATGAGAAGACTGATCAATACCTCCATAATCTTCAGTGTGGAAAATATTATTTATCAACCTGAACATCTACTACTTTACCAGGAATTTGTGTTCTCAGAACTGGTCTGTTTTTTTCTTTCTTAAAACACCTTCACCAAGTAGCTTTACAGTGAACTGCATGTGAGATATAAAATTAATAGCATCTTTTCAGTAGCATTAATTATAAATATTTAAGTGGTTCAATACAAGTCACTACAGCATTTCAAACTGAACTGTGAATAAATGCAATTTAAAAAAATAACCACAGCACAAAATGTCATAAATTGTGTTTTTTCTTTGTTTCTCTGAGGATTATTTACAAACAGGCTTATTTACATATAGCAATAACTCAGAAATGAAAAAGCTACATCGTCTAACACGAACAACCAGTTAGCATAATGATAATATATGTGTTATGTACAATGTAACTGGCAAGGCTAGAGCAAGAAAGAACATAAAGTTTGCAAAAGGTTTAAATAACTTCAAGTATCTGTCTTCAGATTACGTGGAGGTTTTAGTCCGATGGGAAGCAGATTTTAAGCGACACCGAAGATAAACCAAAAATGTGGTGGAGCTGCAAACCGTGTAGTGTTGCTGGGACAGAACAGGAGCTATAACCGTTGGAAAATACATCACAGACAATGCAACAAACGTGGAGACAGAACAATCACTTCTGTGATAAATGCCCACTTATTAATAAACTTCTAACAACCATGGGAAACCTCCTCTCTACATATAAAGTGATATCCAAGCATGGGAAACAAAAGACAGCATTTACCTGTTTGCATCCAGCTAGCCAAGCCTTTCTTGTGTACCAGCTACTTGTGAAGCCTCGTGTATAAATGTTGTCTTTTTCACGAGATTGCTGCGATATATTCAAATCGGGTTGGTCCGGTGCAAGGTCTTTAAGCAACAATTTATCTGCCAAACTTCTCCTTTCGAAAGGATTGGAGATTAGCTCTTGAACAGAATTAGGCGCGGACCGAGGTCCGGAGACTCCACCTGCACACGAAGCCATCCTCATCAACTACTGCGTCAACCGGATACGAGTCACTGTCCAAACTACTCACAGACTGCACTGGGCGCTGACATTGGCGCCCGGTGACCGTCATCTTTGACGACGCTGATTGGCTGAAATTATATTTTCGCGGCATAGTTTACACGTTACAGATAGCAACAGTCAGCTGCTGGTGGCTGCTGCTGCACTGGTTGAAGGC